GTGGACCCCAGCAGCTGATAGGGCCTTTCTTCGTCTCAAGCAGAACTTCTCCTCGGCCCCAGTTCTCCGTCATCCTGATCCCTCTCTTCCTTTTGTACTCGAGGTCGATGCCTCCGCTCTTGGGGTTGGTGCCATTTTATCTCAACGCCATGGTCCGAAGGGCACGCTCCATCCGTGCGCCTTTTTTTCAAGACGCCTATCCCCTGCCGAGATGAATTACGATGTTGGGAACAGGGAACTTTTGGCCATCAAGCTTGCCTCGGAGGAATGAAGACACTGGCTGGAAGGGGCCATCCATCCCTTTACTATCCTCACTGACCACAAGAACTTGGCCTACCTGCAATCTGATAAACGCCTCAACCCCCGCCAGGCTAGGTGGTCCCTGTTCTTCTCCAGGTTTCGTTTTTTCATTATCTATACTCCAGGCTCCAAGAATATCAAAGCTGATGCCCTTTCCCGCCTTCACGACCCCACAGACTCCAAATACCCTCCAGTGCCCATCGTGCCGCCTGACAGGTTCCTCGCAGCTGTACATTGGGACATCGAAGACAAGGTGAGACGGGCTCTCCGGAACCCCACAGTTCCTCCCCAGTGCCCCCCAGACCGACTCTTTGTTCCTGATTCAGTGCGCTCCGCAGTTCTTCAATGGGGACATGACTCCCGCTTCGCTGCTCACTCTGGCACCCGTCGTTCCATCGAATTCATTTTCAGGGACTTCTGGTGGCCTTCCCTAAAGTCTGATGTAACAGAATCACCTGTGCTAGGAGAAAGACCCCTCGGCAGAAGAGGGCTGGTCTCTTACAACCTCTTCCCATTCCTTCACGGCCTTGGTCTCATCTCTCGGTCGACTTACTGACGGATCTCCCGAAAAGCCACGGTAAAACATCATGGTGGTCATCGACCGTTTCTCTAAAGCTGCGCATTTTGTTCCTCTTCCAGCCCTCCCATCAGCCCGAGAGATGGCAGACCTTTTTGTCCAGCATGTTTTCCACCTCCATGGCATTCCGAAGGATATTGTTTCTGACAGGGGTCCGCAGTTCATATCTAGATTTTGGAAGGCTTTCTGCCAGACCTTAAGGGCATCCTTCTCCCTCACTTCTGGTTACCACCCCTAAGCCAATGGTCAGGCAGAGAGGATTAACCAGGACCTGCTGACTAACCTCAGGTCCTACGTCTCCGCTGCCCATGATAACTGGGCTTCCCTTCTCCCCTGGGCTGAATATGCCCACAATTCTCTATATACCTCCTCCACTAATATGTCTCCGTTCCTCTGTTCACTGGACTATCAACCCTCGCTCTTCCCCGACACTATTCCCGACTCTGATGTCCCTGCTGTTCGGGCATATTTTTCTTCCCTCCCGGAACTCTGGAAGAAGGCCAGGACTGCACTGCTTAAGACCTCTCGGAGACCTCTCTGATAGACTCCGACGCCCCTTTCCCCGTCTACCTTGAGGCCAATTCGTCTGGTTGTCATCCAAGAATATTCCACTCCAGCAACCTTCCCGCAAGCTGGGTCCTCGCTTCATTGGGCCTTTCAGAATACTATCCCGTGTTACCCCTGTTTCTTACCGCCTCGCCCTCCCCCCCCCCCACCCTCAGGATTCACCTCACATTCCATGTTTGCCTCTTGAAGCCTTACCACAGATCCCCACTTTCTGCTCGGCAACCTCACCCGCCTTCCCCCCGACTAATGGACGAATTTCCCACCTATACTGTGAATAAGATCTTGGACACCCGATGGCGTAGAGGTATCCGCCAGTTTTTGATTGACTGGAAGGGTTATGATCCAGAGGAATGTTCCTGGGTTTCTGAAGTGGACATCCTGGATCAAAACCTCATTCAAGACTTCCTTCGCACCCATCCCGCTCCCGCTATCGGGTCGTCTGGAGCTGACCCTGTGGGGGGGGGGGGAGGTACTGTTACGCATTCCACTCGCGCTTCTGTTCCTTCTTGCATTCCCACGCGCACACCCTGTAAAACAAGCTCACGCCGCAAGTAAACGCCAATCACCTGTCTCTCCCGTCTCTATTTTAGTTCTCCTCTTTCCTCACTTCCCCGCTCACTGTTGTGGATTCTCTTTGAGCTCCCTAGTGCGCGGTTATCTCTTGCTTTTCTCAGGTATTTGATCTCCTTGCCTGCCTCTTGTTTTCGATTTCGCCTTGTGTTTTTGGATTGTTGCTTCCTTGTTGATTCTCTGTGTTCAGACCTACTCACCTGCCTCCTGGTTTTCGTCTTTGCCTAGCGATTCAGCTTAGTGTCTTTCTCTGAGTCTTGAGTCCTGCATAGGATCCTTTTGCCCTATCAGCCCCACTCTTACACAGTTCAGGCCAGACTAGGGTTAGGGTTACGAGACCCAGGCAATTCTGACATCTATTATACTTCTTTTTCCACTTGAAATGAGTAGTAGAATAGTATTCATTTTCTTCACAGTTTTATTTTGATTTAGTTTTGTAACACAATTCCTGAACTGATAATGCATTATAAGCATGTATATGCATCTGAAAAACAAAAATGAAGATTGGCAAAATATACGAATCTATAATTGTCTGTGATCGAATAAGGGCTAGATTGCAATTTAAGTAGGACTAGTTTTTCACTCTTGACTATGAAACACGCATTGACAGTTTTGGATACGTATCCAAGGTCATGATGTTATCTTCAGTACTTATTGAGAAGTCGTAACTCTTGATTCGCCCGTTTGGGAAAATTGCTTGACAGTGATTTAAAATTTAATAGTATCTGTCTGCTTGTAAGTAAATACTATTTTTACAGTGCTCAAGTAGTATGTAGATGGCGAATGTAAAGCATATATAAATGCATTGCAGAAATATCTGCTTTTCTGCAAATAAAAATGTTAAATAAATAATTCTTCATAACAGACCTTCTATATTTTATTGTATGACAAATCAGATGTGCCCAAAGCCACAGTTCAACAAGGCTGAACAAGCCATTCCCACAATACAGAAATAGGCAGCAAGCTCAGCAGTCTCTCTACAGCAGTTTCAGAGGATTATGAATGAGCCCAATTACCTGCTCCACTGGTATTTGTCAACAGTATGCCTTTCTTTCAGTAAAACTGGATTAACACGTGCTACAGTGAACATTACAAAACATGCACATGTGTCAGGTTTATAAAAATAAAGGTATTAGCATGGAAAATCTATACTTTAAAAAAAAGACAATAGTGAACAGAAATAAGCTCGCCACGAGAAGGAAGTACAGGGTTATGTAATGTACAGTATGTAATTAGTAGATCTCCTTGTTTTCATTGCTTAATTATTGCTACAGTATTATACTGTACATGGTTTTACAATTTAAACATGAATCATCTGCTTTTCTTGTCTAATACAATAATGTCTGTTCATAAGTGAAATGGGAAACATACAAATTCTGTTTGGAGGAGTAACAGATCTGTTTTTAAATAAGGACCTGACATTTAAATTCATGTCACCTGAACCAGACATCATTTGTTCTCAAGCACTACATCATTTTTATGATCATCATCAAGACAAGGCTATTAAAACCTTGAAACACAACAAACACAATGTTGTGGTGAAATGATATACTGTAAGGTTTAATTATGATAACTTATGTACACTCAGTTTTGATCCTTCTAGTTTAAATTACTTGTATATCCCTGGTTCCAAAGGCTCCACCACTAGGAGAGTACCCTTGTGCCCCCCTGCTAATGAACGATCCTTTCAAGAGCAACACCTGTGCCTTTTGTCCCCTCCACAAGTTTGATAGCTCCTCCCATTGCCCAGATGGTGTTTCTTCACTGGGTCCAGGAATTCCAGTTGCCGATCTTGCGATCTTATGTATGGTTCGCAAGATCAATGTGCTTCCTTTTATGTGCACACTGCCCAAGCTTGGCCCTTGGTTTAGATGTCTCACATCATTAGAAGTTTTTCACTTAAGTGGGTGGGGGTATTGTCATGCTCACCCTCACTCAGGTGCGGCAGGGTGATCTAGCATTGATGTGACCAGCATTGGTTGCCTCGGAAACCTATTAACAGGAGACTTGGATCACCTGGAGATGATTTATGACCATGCCCTTTTCAGTTGTTTTATCTCAACCTTGTTCCTGGTTCATCCCTGGCTTGTTACTTCTCCATATTTACTTGGCTTTGAACCCTGATAGCATCTATGACACCCACTTGTATAACCCTTGTGACTTACTGCAGTGCTTCCCTGGATCTGACTCTCCACTTGCTCTGACCACCTCTTGGATTCCCCTTTTTGCCGTGGACTGTGCTTATAGATAGATAATAGATAATACTTTATTAATCCCGTAGGGAAATTGATGAAACCCTTATGATCTTAATACTTAATGATCTTCAAGTATATTACACAGAATCGCTTTAGAATAAAAAGTAAAAACCTCAATCAAAATAAATTATCTTAGGCTTGTTTGTATTTGATTACTGCATAAATTTTTTTTTCTTCAAATTTATTTTTAATTGAAAATAGCCAAGTTTTTGACGTATTAGAAATGTAATATATAATTATTTATATTAAACACAATTGCATCAAAAGCAATAAGAATTATAGATTTTTTCTGGCCTTAGATATATATTAAACCATTTAGTACCCAGATTTTGAACATAAATTCGCTGTTTGCTGTTACCAGGTTTGCTTTTAGACTGAGTTTCAGTTGAATATGTACTAGATTGTCATCATATTTATCAATACCTGGTGTCATGTATAGAGCCTGTTTCAGGTTTAAGGGAACTGTCTGTTGGATGTATAACTATCAATCAGTATGACGTGTGTTTTGAAGTCTCTAGACAAAAATGTATGTCCATATTTTAGTACCTATTCTAGTTACATATTATTATTTCACTTTTGTAAGTAATTATTTTACAGTCTTCCATTGGAAGATATCTTTCTTCCTTTTTCTTTATATCAACAAATATGCTTTATCTGATCATATCAGCATCATCACTCGACGAATATTAAACTTTACTGTTAATTTGTGGGAATATGGAAACATTAGTCCATTAAGATATGAAATATGTTTATGAAGCCTTACATTCTGTATTTAAAGACATCACAACAAGGACTGCAAACTACTACATTTTTACTGTTTCCTTTTCCAGTCAATGCAAACTGAAGCAGTTACTGAATTACAGTATATTACCCAAGTTCTCATATGAATTAGTATTCATGGATATCCAGTGTTGTACTCGTCTCTTATGGTTTAACATGGTTATGCACAGAAGAGAGAAGACAAATGTTAATGGACAATGCCAAGTAGAGTAAGGAGGACCTACAGTAGGAGAGAACAATGTTTATAGCCTGCTGAAAATTTATTTGATTTCTACTGTTTGGGTAGATTACAGCCCATTTTCATTGAAACCATAAAGCTCACACAAGTGCAACAACCGCATATTGATTCGAAATGCATGGAAGAAAGCAAAACTCTTGTGCAACAGAGAACCAACAGCTAAATATTAAAGCAGGTGGAAAAAGTTTGGATAAAGGTCAAATCCACAACATTTAACAGCACTCCTTGGAGTGATCATTCTTCAGGACAAGTTTCCAGGTGCAATCCTTCTTGTTCACAATCATCTCACATTTAGGTGGAGTTTTTACTGGAGTTAGAATTCTGTAAGATAAAAGAATCAATAATACAAAGAGATGAAAATGAATTAATGAAAGAAATAAAAAGAGGAGCTCAAAGCAAAATTCTCCATGATGCCTTGTTCTGTTGTTCAGCTTTATGAAAGCTAAGTTACCTTAGTGAGACTCAATAATTTGAGATTATTGAACTGCAAAATCCACTATGAACACTTAAATTTCTACAGTGTGTATCTACAGTATATACTGTAGATCAATAACCTTTCTTTTCACCATCTGGAAATCAGTATGTGATGAATAAGACAGAAACACATGTCTGTCTCCCACAGTGTTCTCTTGGTTAGGGGTTCTCAGTTTGATTAAAAACGGTTTCTGAGGGCAGAATCTTTTGAAAAACTGAGAATTATTGAGAATGGTACAGTATGTAAGAGGATGGTGTAGAAGTGGGTCTTTTTATTTTTTTTGTAAAATAATGGAATCCTGAACATGGATTTTGAGACTTTTAATCAAACATTGTGATTTTAATACACCCTTTTTTCTGAAGTGATGTGTTTCATACCCTGACTGTTGTTGGTTAGGATTTGCTAGTGAAGAAACTTTTAGACCCGACAGAGATTCATGTCTGCTGCTGTAGATATTCTACTGTTGTTTAATCTTCTTCACAAATAAAAGACTGGAAATTGATTAAAAAAAATATTTAAAGATATATGTGCAACAAGGAGATGACAGAATACTGCTTCCCTTGCTACTTACATACTGCAACAGTCAATCCCATATTCAGTGCAGGAGCACTTAAAGCAGTCGGCGGTCTTCCATTCTGATCCAAATTCATGCAGGACTCCATTGGTGTCATTACAACCTGAAAAACAAAACCACAAGGTAGTGTTATTCTTGTATTTTTAATTGTTTAAAATGTTTAAGTTAACATTGGCAGTGACCTCATTACAGCTTATTAGGTAATGCAGGTAGAAAAACAAATATACTAAGAGACATTAAAAAATAGTTATTTTAGTGTAATTTAAAGGAAATGCAATTAATGCAATACACAGCTTCTTCTTTTTCTTACTTCAATATTGCATTGAACATCTCTAGTTTTTTTTGTGGAAGAACAAAAATATAAAGCATCTTAATTGAAAACCATCATAGGAGACGCAGAGAGACATTGTATTTTTGTACTTTGTGCACACAGTTTAGTGTTGCGTACGATGATCGAGACTGTAAAACTGTTATATTGAGAGGCAGTCCTACATACCTGTTGGAAGGTTATATATGTCTTCAATGATCAGTGGCTCAAATGTGCAATAGCCATTGCACAGCAGAGCAGCGCTCAGGATTCCAAATGCAACGTGGAGTAAATATTTCTGTAAAAAACAATGTTATTCAGGAGTTACCCTTCATTTTAAACAGCGAGCTAAGTAAAAAATAAAAGGAAAGTAGCATTGTAGTGTTAGCGTAATATAACCAGAAAAGGCAATATTCAGTATTGATTATGGACAAATTAACAGTATTTTATTTTTAAGATCTCCTTCTTCCTAGTTTTTGCTCTCATTCCATGGGTTTAATGATGTGTAATGGATTTGTAAAGTCTAAAGTAGTCATTCAAAATCTTGTTGTTGAGACAAAGTAGATTAAGGAACAACATCCTGTTGATGGAGAATATTATAACAGTATATTAATACATAAAAAAACAACTCAGGTGGGTAGCTGTGTCAGCATGCGTAGGCTGCAAAGGAACAAGTAATAGGTTTATTCCATGCTGAAAAGGGAAGAAAGAAAACAACGTTTCGGCTGTGGAGCCTTTTTCGGGTGTTATAAAAATTACTCTTTTTTAATTTATTTTGAAGATATTAATTTTAACTTACCAGGAGCCATTATTTCTTTATGATTAATATTAACACTAAATTCAAGAACAGAAAGCTACTGTTTGTTGATTTAAAAGATAAAGTTTGATCTTGACAGATCTGTTGTAGAGGAAAGCAGTAAAGAGTACCATTAATGTATGAAAATTCATAATCAACAGTGAAGTTAAGCCCTCCTGCTCATCAGAATAAACACATTGTGTACAATATTAATACACTTACCATCTTGGCAGTCCTCAGCTTCTCTTTTTCTCAGGGCAATGAAGTATGATGATTCTATGCAATAAGAGCTGTTTATATACTTTTCAAAGTCAAAAGTTGTGGATGGCACCTCCCATCTTAAGTTAAAGTCAAGGAAAAGTTATGTAAAATAACAAAGATGAGATCTTTTCTCAAGGATAAATGTCAATTCTGTCACAAATTAGTGAGGTCATAATAAGCATTTTCATTGTAGCTTTCTTTCTTTCTTATGAGTTAAGAAGCTTAGTTTTTTCAATTGTTTGAGAAAGACCATTGTTCCTTAAATTCCCATGCAGAGCTTAGTGTCCTCCTCTCAAATGTAAACCTTCTGTCTATTCTAATGGTGAGCATCCTAAGTGATTCCCATGCATTTGCTTTTCATGATCAGCAGCTTCTACTGTGCTCCAGTTTGAGCCTGAGAAAAAGAATTGGTAAATGTTTACTACATTTTTTTCTTTCAAACGCCAATGAAAGCTAACATACATATTCCCTTGATAAAGAAACTATTAAGATGTGTATATATTGTACAAAGGTCTTATACCTCATTCTCATGGTGGAGATAGAGGAAACATCTGAAGAATTAGCTAAGCAAACAGAACTGGTTAGGCTCCATTGTGTGCTAAACTCAGAACAGCCATATCTGTGAATGTGAACAATAGAAATGTGTATTTTGTTTAAGATTTGCACTGGCTTTAACGCTTAACATATTTCTTTTAGTTTTTCCATCTTTCAACTGAAAATAGACCACATATCCAATAAATGTAATAATACCTGAATGAAACATCTATATGTTTTTGTTTAGGATTTGCATTGGCTATAAGACTTAAACAAGATTTATATTGTCTTTATATATTTCTTTTAGTTTATTGAACTTTACAATGCACTGAATATCTAATAAATTGTGTGCAACGGTTGCCCAGTGATTAGTCCAGTGCTGGGGCCTTCAGTTCAATTTCTGACCTGGGGTGCCATCTGTGTGGAATTTGTACAATACGTTTATGTGGGATTCCTCTGGGTGCTCCGGTTTCCTCCCACAGTCTGAAGACATACAGTACTGGAAGGATAACTGGCTTCTGGGAGATTTGGCCATGGTGTGAGTGTATGTGTTTGTATCTGTGAGTGCCCTGCCATGGACTGGTGTCTCACCCAAGGTGTATCCTGCCTTACGCCCATTGCATGCCAGCATTGGCAGATAGAAAATGGATGGATGGATCTAATAGGTTTAATAGCACTTGAATGAAAAGTATAATTTCTGACTAAATGTTACTTTACAAATAAATTACATAGTTACTGTATGTCACAATTTACTGTACATGATACAGTATACAGCACACCAAAATAGCTATATAATTTTCATGTGCAATAAATGTACAAAGTTATTATAAAGAAAATAGCAAACAAATAGTATCAGGTGAATGACATTTTATTGAACGGGTATGGCACAGAGTAATTCATTATGTTAAATGGCTTTTTTGTTACATGAACAGAAGGGTGTCTTGTCTTCAAGGACATATTTCTGAGATGTCAAGACGGGGACATCTGGGTGAGCCCGCAGGATGGGCAGCAGGAGAGGTGTGAGGACTTTTTAACCAGTTTAGCACTCTTGCAGTCAGGTTACCATCAGCAGAGATCTATAAGATTAGACCTTTCTGATCAGAACATCAGACTTGAATGTCCTTGGTATCAAAATGACAAGCAGTTAATATTGTCTTTTAAAATAAATCCTTAAAAATAGAATCATAATTTTCATGTGAATGGAAAATGCATTTTATGGAAGCTGTAATACATCTTCAGAATTCTGACTGTACTATTGTCTAGATTAGCGTATGGAAGATTAAATCTTCCCAGCTGCTAAACAGGTTAGAAATATTAAATACCTACCAAGTCTGGTATTGTTTAAACTGTAGCTATACTGTATGCTTCATGTCACATATACAGAGTTTATTCTTTGTTTGGTATCCATGTGTGCATTACATTTAATTCATGACAGTATTTTGTACAAATTTAACTCTCAATGTTGCTTAAATGTAACATTCTCTCTCTTCTCCTCTAGTCTCCTCTCAGCTTTTATTCGATATCATACACAAAACTGGCTAAACAAAAAACTGTCAGAACATATATCCAGGGAAGATCAACACAGTATAAGTAGCTATAAAAATTATGCACATTGTTCAATTAGCAAAGCAATTTAATATATTTTGCTTTAGTACAAAGATACTAAATTAACAACAGTGAAACAGTGGAAAACTATGGTCTAATCTGCTTTTCACAGAGGTCAGTAGTGACCATCAGTGTATTGGCAAGTGTGATAATGTGTTTCACACATGCAGTAAGAGATAGTTGATGTGCAATGAAGGTAGTTCACTTCGGCTGAACTGGTAGTAGAGACTGAACTGTCATGTAATCTACTGGAATGCAGCCTGCATGAAAGGGGAAAGGGGACAAACTGGGTCAGTGCAGCAGCTGCCTTTTAAAATGTTATAAAAAATTTGTGAGCTGTCTCTGGTGGAAATGCTCCAGACTAAGGTCTTTGCAACAGTTCACAAATCAATGGGAGAACAAAACCTTTAAAACAGCCAAGTAACGTCTACTTTTTGTCAATCTTTAATAACATTATTTAAAGGTTACAAATGTCCGATCATTTGCGGTAAAATATTCAGCATTACAGTATTTACAAAATGTTTCTAAAGAATCTTAGTCTTCTTCTGTACAAAGAAAGAAAAAATAGGTCTACCAAACATTTAGGTTAGAATTACATACATAAAATGAAGTGGTCTGGGAGGTACCCTGTGTTTGAGCATTTTAAAATGGAAGTAAAGGGGTATTTGCAGACTATTTCGAAATGCAAAAATATGAAAGCGGTGAGGACATTATTTTTATTTAATTTGTTTAATCTTTTTTCATAACTTGAATTGATGTAGTAGTATGTACCCCTGACTATATTTTTGTTTGGAATTGTTATATGTACTCTTGTTTGTATTGTAATGTTTGTTCTTTTGTTAAGCATAAATACAAATTAAAAAAAAGGTTAGAATTTCTCACGTGGTCTCTTTATGGTTTGTCAGGTGACTCTAGTCAGCTGATGCAGAGACGTTCTGAACATGGCGGAACTGTCAGAGAGTCATTGAGAAAACAAGAGTGTTTATTTTCTTGTCAGATAAAGTACGAGGGACTTAAGAGAAATTCTAATTCAAGGTAAACAAAATCACGCTGATATCAAAAGCTTAGCGGGAAGCGTTTGGCTTGTCTATGTTAAAATTCCTATTTTCCGCGGCTAAGCGCCAGTTGTAAAATTACGTTTGTGTTGAAAGAATCTTTCATTTTGTTAATCTTATTTAAATGACAAAAACGCCTGTTCTTAGATAACGTATGTGCTAGTTAAGCAAAGAGTGTTATCACAGTTTTCATTAGAAATGCTGTAGATCTCTAAACCAGCTTCATTCGTTGCAATGATCTTTCAATCGGTTAAGTATGATCCATGATGACCTAAAAATATAATATCTTTCTTGATGGCTACGTCTGTAACTTGCACTTTTAAGGATTAAGCAATCTAAAGGAGTATAGCCAACTGAACTTCATCATGATAGGTAGTTTCAGGCTGAAGATGTTCAATGATCGTCATTGCCGTTTTAATTTTAATAGTAATGATGATAATAATACATTTTGTAGTTATAGCAGATTAGGTTTTACAAGATGCTTATGATTCTAAGTTACGTTTAGTTTAAATAATGAATTGCATTACGAAAAGCACTATTGCAAGTTTTTTGCGTACTGTGTTCGGTGAAGAATTGATAGACGCACTTATTTTCCTTTAGTATTTTGAGCAAAGAATTCTTAAAGCGCCTGCGTATCCGTTAACAACCTCACGAATCTGGAAACAGCATTTTATAAGTGAATGCCAAAAATGTCCCTAGCTCTTTTATTCATGCATTATGCAAATCTTTAGAATAGCCGATGTATGTGAGAAATGAGGATGATCAAACTAAAATCCTTTAATGGTTTAAACTACTTTGCATAGTCATGTGATACCACTTAGTTTAATTTTTATTTCTTAACATCCAGCTTTAACACAGAGGAAAATTTAAAAACCTTACAGTCTGATTTCTAGATAGCATCGTTTGGGAGCTTGTTGTTAACCATGCAGTCTTTGCTGAATGATTCTGTAGATGAATGGGCCAACAGCGCCATTAGCCAATGGACCAACCGAACAAAATGGCACAGAGGGAGAACACATCTGGGAAAGGCCTTGGACTTTGGAGGAAATGCGCAAAACCAGTGCGAACTGGTCATTAGCTGCGGATTCTGGGGTAATTCAGTTTGGACCATGAGAAGTTCCTAAACCAGAATTATACCAGCCATTAGGTGAAATTATATATGCCTGTATATAGCAAGCAGCTATATCAGCCAACAACTCAACAACCCACTGTAGCTTAGCAGGTGTGAGCCTGGCCAGTACCTGGATGGAAGACCTCCTGGGAAAAACTAAGGTTGCTGCTGGGAGAGGTGTTAGTGGGGCCAGCAGGGGGCGCTCACCCTGTAGTTCATGTGGGTCCTAATGCCCCAGCATAGTGACGGGGACACTACACTATAAAAAAGTGCCTCGTCCATTGGGTGAGACTAAAACCGAGGTCCTGACTCTCTGTGGTCATTAAAAATCCCAGGACAATTCTCAAAAAGAGAAGGGGTGTAACTCCGGCATCCTGGCCAAAGTTCCCATTGGTCCTTACCAGTCATGGCCTCCTAATAATCCCCATCTCCATGAATTGGCTTCATCACTCTGCTCTCCTCCCCACTGATAGTTGATGTGTGGTGAGCGTTCTGGCGCACTATGGCTGCTGTCCCATCATCCAGGTGGGGCTGCACATTGGTGGTGGTGGAGGGAGTCCCCATTACCTGTAAAGCGCTTTGAGTGGAGTGTCCAGAAAAGCACTGTATAAGTGTAAGAAATTATTATTATTATATTAAGGCAAGACTGGACCAATTTAACATTCTTTTCCACTACTTTTCCTTATCATTATTCACAAACCTAGAAAAGCTTCTGGATTTCAAATGTTTTAAGTATCAGAGTTGGATATCCTTGACTATGATCCATTTGTATATGTCATATGTTTGCTAATGATAATAAATATAAATAAGAGCAGTGTATGTTTTATTGAATAACTTTATGGGCAAACATATTTTAATCCATCATGGGTATACAGTATGTCTATGTTTTTTGTGTTCGTAATGTAATAACAGACCTTTGTATCGGCTTACAACACATTGTTGGTTGTTACGGAGGTGCAGTGTAGAACGTGCTTATTTCCTTTTTCAATGTCTCTGCAGCTTCTTCTGTTCCTCCAAGACTTCTCTCAGCGAATGCTGTCCAAGACCCATGAAATTGAAAAGCAGCTTGATGGCCTCATTCGTGACACAAAAGCAACAGACTGCTGCCTGCACAGTGTCTTTAATGATTTCCTCATGCTCTCAAATACACAGTTCATAGAAAACGTATGTTTTCTCTTCATGATTCTTTATGTTTGCCTGTGCCAGGGATTTTTTAGCATTGTCCTTCACAATTTAGTGGCAAAAAGTATTAGTTATTAAAAACTGTAAATGCTATCCTATTTTTAACCAGTGAACTAATGTGATGTCTTGTATTCTACAGACTTTTCCATTAACATTATTGCAGCATTCCCACTGTGTTTATGTCAATTCAAATCCTGTCGTTTGGTGAAAGCAACGTGATTTTTTGAAAAGATGAGTGCTTACAAAGAGAAAGCTTAAGTTGTTGCATTCTTCATTACGAGTATTATTTTTATAAAGAAGTTATTAGATGACGGAAACCATTCTCATTAGTTTTTATTATTTGTCCTTAAGATTTGATTAATAAAAAGTTAAAAGCCATGTATAACACAAATAGGAAACTATTAGTCCCATTTGGTAAAATATTCACACTAAACTGGTCTTAACTGTCTAATACAGTAATTAACAATTTAAACATTGCATTTTCAAATGTTCTTATCACAATTTTAATGTCTGTGTATATACTTTGTGTACCTTTGCCTTAAACTATTTACCTCTGCTTTTTTCTGATTATGTTAATATTTGTTTTTCTAATTTATCAGCGAGTTTATGACGAGGAGGTGGAGGAGCCAGTGTCTAAGTCAGAGCCCGTGGAAAAACAGCCTGAACAGGTACAACTTCCACACCTGCCCAGTTTTTATTGACATCTGCTTTTCTTTCCTCAAAATGGAAATGGTTCTACGTCATCACAGATCACTTCATTAGTCACTCTTCCTAACTAGGCTTCTTTGAAGAAATGGCTGAATGAGATCCACAGATCAGTCAGTTTCTAGCTGCCAGATAAACAAGTTACCGTAGGTTAAATGGTCTCTTCTCTAACTTCTCTTATTGTTTTAGCACACTTGTCAGCCTTAGGTATTCAATGGTTCTTTAGTGACATTGTGAGTATTTTTACACATCATTGAAGTATACTGACTTGAAAGTCCTTTAGGTTAGTGCCACAACCTTTTCCATATTAAATGACACTGCCAATGCTAAATCATTTTGAAATTATTTTTGTTGTTGCTATCATCTCTGTAGGACAAAAGTCGAGAGCAGAAGGAGGCTGAGTTGATTCCAAAGATTCAGGAAGCAGTGAATTATGGATTGAGAGTTTTGGAGTCAGCATTTGAACAACTAGACATTAAAGCAGGAAACTCGGACTCAGAGGATGAGGAAGCCGCAGACAGAGTGGAGCCCATACTGGAACCCAAGGTAAGGCTTTCAATACAGAGAACACTTTTATCATCCTTATCAGATGATATGCCTACATACTGTCTCATTCAAGAAATCCACATAGTTTAGGTTAAAACAACTATATGAAAAGAATGTAAAAATGGTTACAAAGGTTATACTTGTCTTGTCCCATGATTCCTGAGGACTGTAAAATTATAGTAGATTAGAACTTTTCCTTCATATGCTGTGCTATGAGTAGAAAGGATATTGTAAATCATGTCATAAGATGAATGCTTTTTAGTGTGCATGTCACAGGTGCATTGCTGGAGGAAACACCAGACCTGGCTAGTGTATCAATTTAGACGGCCTCATGAATTCACAGGGAGTAATTGGAAGATACTGTAAAAACATCAATAGGAATCACAGTTTAGGCTACAAGAAGATGCTGAACTAATAGAACATAGAACAGATTACTTTATGCAGTATGTTTTTTGAGGAGAATGCTGATTGCTCCTAAGATGGATGTCTCTGAACCTTAGTGGAGTCAAGGTTGGGATGTCAAGTTACATTTGCTGCTGGAGGTGGATTGATCTGCTTTAAGGGATCTTCTATAATATTTTGGACAATATGCTGTAAATTAAAATTCAGGGGCTCTGTTTTGTGAATCTCAGCAAATATGGTCCTGTACATATTGTACTTTTCTGATAGTTTAATTGAAGACTTTTTGACAACAAAGCAATTATAATCTTTTTTTGACAATGTCTTAGTTAATACATCAAAAAATAGCTTTTCTGTTTAATTTCTGAATATTTAAACCCTAGTTTGTGTTTGACATGTGTTCTGTTTTCATTTTCATGTATTGTCAGGATCTGTATGTTGATAGACCATTACCTTACCTGATAGGCTCTCAACTGTTCATGGAGCAGGATGATGTGGGTCTTGGAGATCTTTCTAGCGAAGGTATTATCTTTTCTCCTGGATGAGTTCAAGTAAATCTTTATTTCTTTGTCTGCAAAATTCAGGCTTAAAATTTAAGATATACATCCAAATTATTTAGATTTGCTCCCAAATTGTGTAGGATTTTTTATGTTTGTCAGGGGTCTTTTAAATATTTTATTATCTGTCAGAATAGGTTGACTTTAGCACATAAACACAGTAAGTATATTAAATTGCTTACAGTCTGCTGTAAGTCAGCTAAACGTTCTGTATTAGGTACTTGTAACTGACTGTGTTTTTTATAGTTTGGGGTTAAGATGATAAACATAACTTTCAACATTGTTCAGATTGGATAGTAAACTTTTTATTGCAGGAATAATGTAAAATGTGCCCTCATCAAACAATAGCATTTTCCTTTGAATTATTTGCTTTACAATGTACAACACATTGTGCCTTAAAGCAGCCACAGTACATTGACAGGATTGTCTATTGGATTGTCTCCTTTGTGTTTTAGAAATGTCAATTGATAGCGACCGTGATAGTGTCATTGACAGTGAAGAGGACAAGGGTGAGGAGGTGAGATAGCCTGCTGGACTTTGGACTTTTTAGATGCCTGTTGGAATGACGTAGTCGAAATCTAACCTTTGGCTGTTCTCTTAAAAATAACAGCAATCCGAGGATGAATTTGATCAGGATGATGAGTTACAAGGGAGGCTGAAAAAAGTAAGTCTACCGACTGGTGGATTTATTCTTAGAGTTACACTGACATTTTTTGGTAGACATCCGATTTTCATTTCAAAATAGCAGACAGCAATTAAACCACCCCCAACTTGTAAGAAGAGCAAATTTCAAGATGCGAAAATGTCATTCGTTTTCAATAGAAGCCAATGGTCAGTGATGATGAAGAGGATGAGGAAGATGATGACTCAGACATATTTGGTGAATCAGACAAAGAAGATGAGGATAAAAAGGTAACGCTTAAGTAGAAAGAAGTCAATTCATTAGTTAAATGCTGTCATTTCAATTGAAATGAGTCTGGTGCTGTTTCCTGCCTGTGCCAATTATTCCCTCCACAAGCTCTTGGAAATACCTTATGACCCAAGGAAAAGCTTTTGACACAAAAGAGTTGCCTGGAAGTTGTGGGAGCTCCAGTCTTGTTTGAATTGTTATTTTTTATATAATTTTGTGTTTTTTAGAGAAGGTCTTAGTACCATTTATTTCAGAATCCCAATGTGTGATGTAAATTCTGTGCACTTTGTACAGTATGTACATTTCATCATGTATTCCTAAACACAGTGACTTATCACCTGTGCCTGAATTGTTCCAGGGCTCCATGGGACAGTCCTCCTTTGCAGACGAACTGGCGGCTCGTATTAAAGGAGATGTGCCCAGCACGCAAGATGCAGATCAGTCTTGTGAGTTTATCCTGCGTTTGGGGGCTTTAAAGTGCTTTAAAATGCTAACGAAGTGAATTAAATTCAAAAAGTATAACCTGTTCAGCTCACTATCTTTGTTTGCATTTTTTTTCTTTTATACCATTTAGTATAATAAAGCACAGTGGAGGATCTGTTTTACTCAAAGATGGAAGAACTGTAAAGCGTACCTGCACAAAATGAAATATATTAAACATAAAAACCAAAAAGTAATGTAGGTCTATAGTTGTTGTTGGAGCAGGCCATTTAATCTCTCATTAGTATTAATTAATTAACCTTTTATTAAATGCTTTGCTGCTATTTTACTAGCAACAGAGAAATTGCAGGTTTTCAGTGTCATGCTAGTAAAATTGATGTTGAGCTTTGCTTTTTCTGAAGAAGCAATATGTCAGTATACTGCAACACAAAGTGACATGTGTTTGGTACATTCTATTCGTTTCATTAATTAATTTCATCCATTCTGTTTTTAAGCATTATCATCAGCTCCATCTGCATCAAAGAAGAAGGGAAAAGCAAAGAGAGAGTCCAAACCTGATAAAGCCGAGGGTAGGGTAAACTCACCCCTATCAGGAAAACATGATGATCGATCTTATTACTGATATTGCTAAATCATGAATTCTTATCTGGAAAACCAAAAGACACCCCCTGATATAGCACGACTTTGGAGGCAGTTCTTTATAATTGTCAGAGTAAAACATAAGCATACAAAACTAAAATAAAACCATGAATTTAACTGAATCTCCTAAGATTCTCAAATACGTTTTTTAAAAGGCTTTTTGCTCACAATATTATAACTTTTTTTTCTCAGAAATAAGATTTTATTTTTAGTGGTTGTAATGACATGTTATTCCAACCAATCCTAATCATCGTTTAATTAGTAAGGGAAATAATCAGACAGACATGAGTGGCTGTGGGCTCTGTCACACGTCCAATTAGGCTGATTATGTTGTTCTTTCACTTGATCACAAGTGAAAAGTAGGGATTTATCTGTCTCTTTCAGATGAGTTCATGAAAGGTAGTCAGTACTTCAGAATCAGATTATTTAGCATTAATGAGGCCCTTCATTTTCTTCTAGATGCTAGTAGCAACATCTGCTGAGGAGAAGTCGTATCTTCACTTTTTTGGTCTGCACACTTATTATGTACATTCTGTACATCATGTTCCTCCATTGTCTGGTTGAAGAGGTTAAAAGAATTCTGAAATTGTGTGTTTGCACCCCTACATGCTTGCTTGCCTTTTTGTTATCCCTTGATGCATTTTCCTTCGGTTAATGTGTTTTAGTATAATTCTTTATCTACAGTTTTGGAGGAAAGGGCTCTAGTCTGTATGTCAACGAATACAGTTAGTCTTACATCTTTATTAGTTATATGAACTTCTGCTAACCCCTACGATTACACTGAGAAACTAACTGCAAGAGGCTTGGCCAAAAGGAACCTACTGTATGTTGCAAGGGCTTTTTTTGTTTTGCAGGAAAAACAGCCCTTTAATCCTTATAAAATCAAAAGGGGTCTGCTCAGGTTATTACAAATGTAACCATAAGTGTCCTATTTAAAGTAAATGAGGATTTAATTAAGATTTAATTGAAGATTCAGATATTTTGTGTGATATAACTGTCTGAAAAGCGATGTTCATCTTCCCCGTACCTAGATGAGGAGGACAGTGATGAGCTGTTCAAACCCCCTAAAATGGAAGACGAGGATTTCTCTCCATTTGGTGGTAAAGGAGGACTGTTTAGTGGAGGCAAGGGGCTGTTCGATGATGACGATGAAGTGAGTGATTGTTTAATAGCAGCTAATCATTTTGTTTTCAAATAGAGTCATGTTTCCTGTAGTCACTACTTATTGTAAATTAAATTAAACTTAATTTGACTAATTTTAGCTTGGTTAATTGCTACCTATTTGAAGATAACATAACGCTTGAAGAGGAACATCAGTATTGAAAGCGATTATATATTATTTCACTCTAAGTTTATTTTTGGAAAGTATTAAGTACTTTCATCTAAGTATTAAGACAATCGATTACATAGGCAATGTAAAATAAAATTTATAATGTTATTTTAAACCCTGCAGGGTGATCTGTTTGCTGATGCGCCAAAACACGAGGCTGAAGATAAAACAAAAGAATTACCTGTCAGTAAAGGTTGGTACTGTGTGTCTGATGGGGGTTTCACATCTTACCAGTGGATTCCAATAGAACAGACTTTTGGGAGGCACTAATCTAACAGAATACAATGCAGTTTTTGTTTTATTTTCAGCTCTGGTTATTCTACACTATAAAGTTACTTTTGTGTACTTTGTGTCACTTTGTACGTGAACACTCAGGGTTGAAACTGTAATTGCAGCCCTGTAATTTATGAACCGTTTTGTACCAGCAGTGAAACAACTCTCCTCTAAATACATAAGTGAGAGATCAGTAAAGCACTGACAAGTAAGGGATATCAGTGTGATAAGATGGACACAAGAATAGGGGAAAGAACAGGAAGCAAACCTGCATAGTTCTAAGTAAGGCAAAAGCGGAATTAATTTTAGTTCTTCTAATATTTTAATAAGGCTTCATAAGGGTAATCTAGAGAAACTGTTACTTGGGCTGTACGTGATGAAAAATAATTACTTGATTAGTTAATTAAGTAATGTACATTTCCATAATTTCTGGCAAAACGTTTTAATCTGATTATTTCTGGTTTATGTTTATTAGAAAGATTGCTTCCATTCTTAATATATACTGTGTATATTTGTCTCAGATCTCATCTGGGTCACATCACCGTGATAAATAGTTTAATGGCATTGACACAATTAAAACAACTTTTGTTTTTTGGCTTTAGATCCTACAGTGTCTAAAAGCAACAAAAAAATCCCATCTGGTGCTGTCTCCATTTATCCAGGTGAGGTGTAAATGAGATTTAACATCTTTAACATAACACAACATAACACAACATAACATCACTTTATCACCCCTATACAATTTCTTGCATTAGGAATGAAAAGAAAATCTTTTCACATACCCCAGCTTGCTCTCCATGAGACACACAAACACACAGATAGGGAGAGAGCCTGGGGTCAGAGCGCAGGGTCAGACATTGTACGGATTCCCTGCCAGCTGCGGGATATTTGAACCGGTAACCTTCCAGCCACAGGCGCAGATCCTTAGCCACAGAGCCACCGCTCCGCCCTCAAGAGGCAACAAGACACAAGTACAAGTACAAGTAACAAGACACAAGAGCACTACAATATTTTGTGTATAGAGAAATACAATTTTACCATAATTCCAGGAGCCTTCATTTTGTGTGTGGCACTCGGTAATATGGAAACTGGTTTTGGTTCACTGGATGGACTTTGTTGAGAGTTCAACGGGAGATGGCATGATTCAGCAAGACCATCGCATGCAGTATTTTTGTAGCAGATTCTAGCTAGCCAAGGACAGTCTTGGCAGATATAACTTGTGCACTGCTTTCTGTGCTGTGGGGTTGTTTTTAAGTGGGGGCTGGAGGTTTTGTTCATTCAGAGTCTCTTCTGTGTCAAAAGTGCAGGTTCTACAAGTCTTAAGTGGTTTTAGAATGAAACGAGAAATTAAAAGTCACGTACTGTGAACGATTGATAAAACGGTGTGTTCAGTTTTTTATTTTGTGAAGGACGTGAAGTTGTTTTTTATTCCTCAGGAAACACCCTCTTCAGTCCCACAAAAGACTCTGGATCCAGTGAAGGAAAAGAAAATGGGGTTCCCGTGGAAAACAAAGCCAAGTTGGCACCAAAGCAGAAATCTCTGGGAGGGCTTTTTGATGATGACGAGGAAGAGGATGACATCTTCAGTGGAAGTAGTGTCAAAAAATCAGATCCTGGTAAATGCCCAATACGTGCTGCAAACAAATGCACAGTTATATACAACTTAATTTGACTATTTCAACAAAAACTACTTATATACAAAATAGTAAAGTAACATTAAATAGAATTTTATTTTTTTCCTGTTCATCCCTGTGATTTTAAGTTATAAACATGGATTGTTTTATGACTGAAATAAAAAAGGTGAGTAATAATTATGCACTTAATGTACATACATTTCTTTAAGATTTATTGTCTGCCCTTCTAAGGAAATAAATTAACACTGATTGTCATTTCTTCATTTCTTCGTAGTGTACAGATTAACCTTTCACATACTGTATGGCCTGTGTATTGTATACAGATGACTAAATAATGCTAGATGCTGATGATCTGTAAAGAATATACACTGGCACTTCTTCAATAACATTTGAAGATAAGATATTAAAAATGTGTTTTACTGTGTTTTCATACTTTTATTTACATACTACTTTTATTATCTTCTTGTAGGTTTGAAAAAGCCAAAGCAGAAGAAAACAGTGGATCTCTTTGGGGAAGATGAAGAAGATGATGGGGATAGTTCAGATGTTTTCATTAAGAACTCAGGTGCAGCAGCTCCCCATCAGAAAGATAAGGATGATGAGGAGGAGGTGGTCTCAGTACCTGAGAAAAAGGTACATTCTGTCCTTTGCCCATGTTCTTTGCACATCCATTTTTTTTGTTTGATCTTTTTTCAGGACTATTTTGAGGTTAGGAAATCTTATCAGTTACACTGTTACATGCAATAGAAGAAATATGTAGTTTGCTCTATTATTACTACATCAGTAAAATGTATTTCTCATATTTCTATATTCAGCCTATTCCAGAAGCAGCTTATTTTTTTAAAGTCTTTCAATGGTCTTTCTAAAGACAACGTGTTATGAAGACGAAGATAAAGACAGAGAGAGAAGGGTGGGATGTTTAGTTGTTTTACTCTTTTACAGATGCCTGCAGGAGCCGTTTCAATGTTTGGGCCAGGAACCAAAACGCTCCTGGTTGAAAGTCAGAGGAAACGACAGCCCTCCACCAGTGAAGATTCTGAGAAGTCTGAAGAGGTGATATGAATGTTACTCTGCTGCCTGTGGTGGTTCCCGAGTTTCTTTTGTTCTTTGGACCATTTGAACTTTTGTGTTATATCAGAAGAAAAGGTCTGAAATTCATTGACAAAACAAAGCATTTGCTTTGCGTCTTTAAGGTCAAGAAACAGCTTAGGATGATGGCACATGCTTGAGGTTTCTCTGGTTTGTTTGTAATGAGGAGAACCCAAGGTATGATTACAGTAGTACTTTGGTTTGAAAGGGGGGAAATGAAAAATACATTTCTTGCCAACAGAAATACATAAAGTATAAAGAAATACTTACCGTACCTCACCTTTGAGATTCAGCATTTCACCAGAGAGGGCATCAGGAGCAACTCATAATGCTACATAATAATAATAATAATTGCTTACACTTATATAGCGCTTTTCTGGACACGCCACTCAAAGCGCTTTACAGGTAATGGGGACTCCCCTCCACCACCACCAATGTGCAGCCCCACCTGGATGATGCGACAGCAGCCATAGTGCGCCAGAACGCTCACCACACATCAGCTATCAGTGGGGAGGAGAGCAGAGTAATGAAGCCAGTTCATAGATGGAGATTGTTAGGAGGATGATTGGTAAGGGCCAATGGGAAATTAAGCCTGGACGCCTATTCGAGAAACGCCCTGGGATTTTTAATGACCACAGAGAGTCAGAACCTCGGTTTTATGTCTCATCCGAAGGACGGCGCTTGTTTACAGTATAGTGTCCCCGTCACTATACTGGGGCATTAGGACCCACATGGACCGCAGGGTGAGCGCCCCCTGCTGGCCCCACTAACACCTCTTCCAGCAGCAACCTTAGTTTTTCCCAGTAGGTCTCCTATCCAGGTACTGACCAGGCTCACACCTGCTTAGCTTCAGTGTGTTGCCAGTTGTGAGTTGCAGGGTGATATGGCTGCTGGTTATGCTAATGAGAATAAGCAATTATTAATTATTATCTTATAATTATTAATTATATAATTATTCTCAATTAGCATATGTATATGCTAATTGAGAATAAGGCTTTCAAATGCAAGATCATATTAAAGGGGAACTGCAATGCTATTTTTACATTTCGGTGTTAGAAAGAATCAGCATTGATGAGTTTTTTAAAACCAAAATGAAAGTAAAATGTACACAGTAAGGTGTAAACCAAAATTTACAGGTATGTGCATAGCAATATTCTGTGATTGCAGTGACTAGTGAGCAGGAGGGGCCACATCACGTCACAATTTTTGTGACCTCTTGCTATCGCCCATGGTGAGACCCGGGGTTTACGACAACACACAGTACTTTCACAAAGTTCAGGATTTTGTGCTTAATTCGGAATTTGTAAACTTTTTCTATAACGTCAATTAATTTATTTTGTTTACCAAGATTTAATGACCGGTCTGAGAAATTGGGACAGCAGTTCCCCTTTAAAGTGATACTTCATGCATTAAAATTTTGACTCAACAATAATGTCTGGTTTACAGAATATACCTTCACAAGGCATTTTCAAGACAGCAGCCAAACCTACTGAGAAATCCCAATCCAAAAGTCTCTTCTCAGATGAAGAAGAGTCACAGGTATGCCATTTTAAAGTAGCTTTCCTAAGAGGAAATAAGCGTATTGTTTCTGTTTTCTTTTAGGTTTATTTTGATTTTGAAGCACCGTTTCAAATTGTCAGTGGACAATTTTAGTGGCATGAAGTTTAGCATGAATTTTGTACAGCATGACATCTTTGGAAATATGTTTTTTATTATCTATATCTTACATATTATTTATTACTCCGCTTTGAGAGATGTTTGTTTGTTGGCTAGAACACAAACTTAACAGTTACAACGTTTATTGGTGTTACTGTTTTTCCATGACCATATCACGAAAATGAAACCAGATCCACTAACAAATTATTTTATTTAAACATCACAGGATATATTTCCATCCAGTAAAAACACTAATAAAAATAAGTCAAAACCTGCACCTGTAACCAAGAGCCAAGCCAGCAAATCACCACTTTCCATTTTTGATGATGATGAGGAAGAGGTAAATCATTTAATCTGTCATTTAACTTCCTCTGATTGTTGCAGTTGTATATTAAGGAGCCTGTTGCCTACCTACAGTACTGGTTTACTTAGTGCTTCATGGTTAAATAAAAGCTTGTTCTGTATATCCTGTAGTAGCATGCATGGTGATACTTCTGACCTTTGTTATGTGCTTTGTTATGAGATTCATTAGAAAAAAGGATCGGGAGAATCTGAATTAACTTGGGCTTTAACTTGTTCAACTAGTCCCTGCCTTTCTACCATTGTAGTTTGCTTAAACTCTCAATTTGAACATTAAAAGCATACTGTAGCAAAATAAGGAGTGATAGTTTTCAATGCTAGAAATTTACCTTTTGACACAAAAATTAAAGGGTTTTGATTTAGCAAAAACAAAGTTAAAAAGTGCAACTTTTTGCTGTACTTTATCAGGATCTGTTTGCTTCTGCACCTCCAAAGTCAACCGTGAAAATATCTCAGGAAAGAAAAGCATCCTTACAAGAAGTGAACAAACCCCATACTACTTCACTCTTCAGCGATGATGAGGTATTGTGTGGACTAGAAATGTTTCATTTATTTTAGTTCTTTACTTTGTTTATATTTGTAGTAAATTCTGAAGTACATTTTACTGTCAAAGATTGCTTCATTGCTCTTTAGCCTGGCCTTGTAAAACATGTCATAAATAACACCTTTTTTTCCATCTAAATAGCTTGATAAGTTACGCACCCAACAGATTTAGAGTGTGGCTGCATTCCACAGCATACAATCTAAAGCATCACAATGCTTTAATTAGCACCATTTTAATCTTGTGGTCTCTTCTGATTTCAATTTCCAATGTTAATTGTAACCTTATCTTGCATGCAGCCCACAATCTGCTCATTTCAAAGGGAATTGTTTTAAATAGGCTTTTTGTTTGAGCACAGGTTGAACTCTCTAACTGCGGGTTCAAGCCTGGGTCATGTCACTGATGACTGTATCCTATGCCAGGGGTAGGATGATTAATCAGGACCGTCTTGGCTCTCAGTGACACAGTAGCAGCCCAGGCGTTTCCTGGCTAGTTGTCTCTCTCCTCTAATTGGTAATAAACCCCAAATTTTATTTTGTTTTAAAGAGGTCTCAAGAGGATGTAAAAGGTAATGTGTTTCATACTTGTATGGTGTTTATGGTTTTATATAAAATGGATAGAGGTAATGTGTTTCATACTCGTAAATGTTTATGGTTTTATATAAAATGGATAGAGGTAACTAAACTTTGTATTTGATTGTGTTACTGTTGCTGACTGAAGAGGTTGCATTTGTTTGACATAGTTACTACAGTATGTTACTCCATTTCAGGATCAGTGGGTAACTTCAAAAATGACGCCAAGTACAGACAAGAGTGAGACAAAAACCAGAACTGCAACAGGTAAAGAGACCACCCCTTCCAGCCAGAAGAAGGCCAGCCTGTTTGATGATAATGAAGATGATGATCTGTTCCCTGCCACAAAGGGACCCAGGTAAAAACAGATCAGGAAAGCTTCAATAGTTTTAATAACTGGAGATGCAGCTGAAGGTTTAGCCTATAGGTTTTTTCTAGCTACTTCTCTTTATGGTTTTCATGCTGCATACGTTTGCTTTATTTCCTAGTCAGAAGAAGCCCCAGAGAGTCTCTCTTCTGTTTGAGGATGACAATGAGGATGATGGGGACAAGGGGTCACTGTTTAGTGCCAAACCAGCTACGGGTATCACTGCCCCTGATGCTAAGGTGGTAGGCAGATATTGCAACCTTATTAATGTGCATGTCTTCCTGTTAAATAAAGAGTCTTTTGTATTTGTGTTGCTGTTCTTTCTGTGAGCACGATATGTAAGATATGAATTTTGATGCATGTATCATAATAAAGCTTTGAGACCTGTCAATTTTCTACAACTTGTCTATAAACTTGTATTTAATGGATAATAACATATTTAAATTTATTTGTTCCAGGGTATATTTACAGCATAAATTAAAGGACAGATTTACAGTCTGTACATTCTAAAATAACTATTCAAAAGGAGTTAAAATTAACTCATACTTTGTTCCCAAGTTTATGACAAAAGTGTACAGTACACAACATGAGGATTTTTTGTGGTTTTAAGGTTTGTAAGATTAAAATTAAGCTTTTACTCCTTTTTCTGGTAATGTATGAATGTTTCAAAATGGAGCAAAACAGAATATGAATGGAAAACTGTGATTCTCACTCAGAGCTTTATCTCACTGGTCTGTGCTGTAGAAGTCGCCTGCAGACCCTCCAGCTCCCTCTCTGTTTGACAAAGATAAGACGGAAGACTTGTTTGAAACACCAGCCGAAGCAAAACCTTCTGTGGAAAGCACAGGCCTCAAAAAGCCTCCTGTCGGAGCAGTTAGCTTATTTGGAGGAATCGATGTGTTTGGACAACAGAAACCAGGCGTTAAGGTAAATATCCCAGTTTATTTAGAAAGTTGTGTCAATTTGAAATGATATTTCTTCCACAGAATTTTAAGATAAACATTATCGCAAGTGAAGATGCATTGACCTTCCATTCTGAAATATTTACCAGCAACTTGGATAAAAAAACAAAAGGAAACACATGATTTGTTCACTTGGAGAGATGTTTATTGACCCATCCATCCATTTCCAATAACTTCTTCCTATACAAGGTCTTGGGAAGTTGGATCGTAACTGGCAGACAGTGGGTGCAGGAAACACTAATGCCCAGACAAACATTCGGGGTTTAGTAGACATCAGGTCTTTGGACTGTGGGAAGAAACTGGAGTAGCTAGAGAAAACCCACGTGACTAAGGGTAGAACAGACTCCCCACAAAAAGCCTGAAACCTATGAACTATGAGTCAAGGGGTCTTTCGTGTCCATTATTTAAAATAGATTCATCTGTTATATTTTGTCTTTAATATATGCCTGATTAGATAACTAAAGTGCGGTCCCATAAGTCATAGTGGTAAGTACTGCCTTTAAACCTTATTTAACAAAAGGATGAGTAAAACAAGTATTTTTTCATCATTGTTCATGAAAGTTTGGTGATATGAATAAAAAATTATGTACTGCAAAGTAAATTTTGGATTTTTAACATTGGAAGGTTAATTATATTTTCTTTTAATGTAGGTCATATTATCAGTTATTGTATAACATGGTAATATGATTGAATGTAATCTGTTAATGACATTTTCTTGGAAATAGAGTCCTTTGGAAGACCCTGAGGATGATGAGTTCCTGTATAAAGATGCCCCTCCACCAATGGAAGAGGAACCGAAAGGGAAAAAGAAAAATGTGCTGAGCCTGTTTGATGATGATGATGAAGATGATGAAGGGCAAAATTCCACATTAATATCTGACAAGCCAACAATGCAAAATGTGTCTCAGAAGGTATGTGAAGAGAAAGAGAAACATGTTAACATTGATTGAAGTTATTAAGTTTGTCTTAATTTAATGACTAGCTTAATGTTTTGTGTGACCCAAGAGTATACTGTGGAAATTAAAGAATCATTTTATAAGGACAATTTTAATTACTTTAGACTTGTTTCCTAAATAAACTTAATAATCGGCTTTTAATAGGTGCTTCATGTTATGAACAAACCATTTGGTGCTGCTTTGTGAAAGTTTAGCAAAGATTCAGTCCCTGTGTAAGATTAACCTGTGCATGAATATTGCATGTTTTTGAAGAGTGATGTACCCTGTATAGAGATGTTGTCTTAATATAGACTGTCAGCTTTGCTTAGCCTGTCATTTGAAAAAAATGGGTAAGGATTCTGATAAGCATGGATTTTAGTCCACTGGGCAGAGACCTCGAACAAAGAGCACAGGAGTGTTCCAAGACGAAGAGCTGCTCTTCAGCCAGAAGCAACAGAAGGACAACGACCCTGATGTTGACCTCTTTGCCACAACAGGAAAGGCAGTGGTGAGATTCCAGACTGCTTAGCCTGCTTAAGATCTAGTAAAGCAACAAAAAATAAATCTGTCTTGGCCACTGCTGTATCAGTGTTGCATACAGATGGCCCATCATGTATGAAGAATTTTATTAAACTTACCTTGTTCTAGGAAGATACATTTCTCTTCTCTGCACATATAGACCTCCATATAGAACTGGATCAGTTTCCTCATTTATCTCACCACCTGTTTAAGTGTGAAGACATGTAGTTATTCTGAGAATCAGTGGCCAGCTGAGTCATAGTTTTAAAGTTGTTTGAAGCATTAAACAGTAATAATTGGAGCCTTTTTGTTAAAATAACTACAGGAGATATTTCCATGAATATTTCCATATTTCCATGAACCTGTGTATTGTATGGGTATCATTTATATATGACTAACTTTCCAAGACTTCTTTGTTGGTATCTAGATAAAGGAAAAGCCTGCTGCAAAACCTGTGGAAACTATCTCCCATTCTGCCCCAAAAGCACACTTTGGTGACACCTTGGGTGATGAGGAGGATGATTTGTTTAGTAAAGCAGTCAAGGTAAGTGCAGATTATGTTTTTAAAACAAGAATCATTAATAATATTCTCTGTTTTATGTGCAGTATGGCTCATGCCTTTTACCTACTTTATTTCAGTGTCAGCTGTGAAGTTTGTAAGACCATGTAGGCAACAATTTGACAATAAAGAAAAGTCATTGAAATCAGAAACAGGTTTTTTTCAGAAGATTAATTTTGAAGTTGTAAGCTAATAAGAAAAACAGTGTCAGTGTGTCTCTGTACTCTGGGGGTCTTGTACTCAGTTCTGTGTTCTGATTTTTGCATGCATCTGAGTATTCAATTAAAGAATAAACCTGTTTCTTTTTCACTAATATATGGGATTTTTCATAAAGGTCGTTTGCAGCCAATTGCTCAAAACAGTCACTTAATTTAAGGTGCAGTTAGCTAGAAAACACTTCAGAGCCTGGTATAAATGGTTACAATTATTATTTATTACCATAGTTTTGTTAATAATAATTAATTAGTCCACCTCTGAAACTGAGAGAAACAAATAATAGAAGAGGCAGGGCCCTCCAGAAATTGAGCCCGCTGCTCTAGTCCAAAGCCTTTTACTGTACTGTATGTACAGTATTTATTTGTCATCTATTTAAAGTAAGTATGGTTATTGACATCAGTAAGACTGTTCTACTCTGATGCTGCGAAGCGGAATCAGCACTTTGTCTTAATTTGTCAAGATAAGTGTAGTTTGCCACTTCACTAACCAATAAGGACACCAGTCACCAGGGGTTGCTAAGTGGCACTCGGTCCATGTATGACTAGGATTCCCCAAACTCCAGTGTCTACTAGCAAGAGCACTGCTAAGGTTGTGGTTATGGCTGAGACTGCTGGGCCAGGGCTCTTCAACGTCTCGGTAGCTAGAGGCTTGCAGTGACAGCAGTAAGAAAGTAAGTAAGGATGCACCACTGTTCTTGTCAACGCTAGACCTTCTGTCAGGTGCTGTGGAGCTGGAGATACCAGCATATCAATGGCTTGACAGGTGGACAGGTAGCAGGAGCTCCTGTGTACTTCCTCATTCCTGCTGCGCTGTGCAGGAGTCCATGGTGTGAGTCGAGACAATTATGGGCGATTCAGAATGAAAAATGCAAAAAGCTCTGAATATAGATTGAATGGAATAGGCTTGCATACCATCTGCTTTTGTGGTTACCAATCAGTTTTAGAAAAAGCTTCATTAAGTGTTCTGTTACTGTTTTTTCCTCATCTAGTTTTTCATTAATGCTTTTGAGACCAACTCCAATGCTGCACCTGAGGTCAGCATGGTCACAAAATGACTAAAATTGCTTTCAGTGAAAATGATTTTTCCTCACAGAGCCCAAAGCCCACCTCTGTGAAGCCAGTAGCACCTGCTTTATTTGGTGATGATGATGAGGAAGATCTTTTTAGCTCTGTGAAGCCCAAACCTCCACAGGTACATTTCATAGTTTGTTAAATCAATCCTGATAATTCTTATGATATAATGACATATAATTAACATATTATAACATATAATTATAGTATTTTAAATAATCAAAATATAACAAAAAAGGTTACCCTACAAATATGTTAAAATAAACTTTATTTGTGTGTTAACTTATATTTAACTTACATTGTAGAAACTGCCAGAGAAGAAGATAGCCAGATCCTCTAGAGACGATGATCTTTCAGGTGCAAAAAGTGAGAAAATCAGTAAAACTGCTTCCACACAACCCCCAAAACAAGGAAGCCCGCCCAAGGCAGTGGAAATTGAGGTGAGTCTGTTGTAAGCCAGGCATTTTAGAATATGCATATATTGCATATTTACAGTTTTGTCAGAAAACTTTAAAATCTCAGCATTTTTTAAAATCCTGCTGTGATGTGTAGAAATTCAAAAAGCTTTAATGAACATTACAATGGTCACGTTTTTTTGGTAAGGTACAATTTTTGGTATTTTTCAAGATATCCTTGACATCTGTATAATTAGCTGAATCCAGATCACCATGTTTTTTTACATGTTATGAGGGGTGACGTTTTGCTTACCACCATGAGAATTATTTCTCATAAGCTCTGGAAGCTTTGATGGACTCACAGTGGTGTAAAAGGTGATAAATATGGGTTTTAAAGAATATTGTCATCAATTTATATGTGTATCCTTGCTTATGGGTATTCTCTTAGTACAGTAAGAAAACAAACACTTTTACAAGTATGTTGTTTTGAGAATGAAATACTAAAGAAGCATACACAATTCCTATGTTGTTGTAAGCTGTATGATCAATGTAACTTACTCTTATTTGATTGCACAGAAACCTCCAGGCTCATCTCCTGTTAAAAGTAAAGAGCCTTCCTCACGGATTGGAAAACTTCAAGTAAATTTTATTGCAATTTTCTTTTTCACTTCACTTCAGTGGCCTGTCTCAGTGGGTTTTTGTCTTCACAAACTATGAAGCTTCCTCTTTTAAGCAAACGAAATCTCTTTCATTTTCACTAACCTTTTGATTTCTGTGTTCTGTATGTGACATACACATACAGGCAAAATTGCCTGAAGCTACCTTTCTGAGACTATGCACAATCTTTTGGTCAAAATAAGAACTAGGTCATATTTTCAGGAAGTTGTTTGGACATACTAAATTTTGCTAAAATAATCAGTTTCCAGGTTTGTTTATTAATGTTCATGGTTTTAATAAAGCTAGTTTTGAACCTAGTTCTTCTTATGACATTTTCAATCATTTAAAAAATCTTGCCTCCTTTTTTTCTTGCACTATATGAAATTCAGCTATCGTTTTCCTGATACAGGATTTTCTTTGAGGCATGAGTATTAAGACAATGTGAGATTACAGCATAATTGCTTATACTATGCATGGACTGACAGTCCCATCTGAACCCTAAACCAGTTTTAATCTTGTTCAGCAGTGTGGTATTATGGTTAGGCAGGGTTACAATTTTAACATTATTCAAGTTTCTGTCTTACATTGTGGTTAACAAATTGAAATGCTTCTAAGTTTCAACTGATACAGAGTCTCAGATGTGCATGTCAGACGTGTGTTAGGATATACTGCTTTTGGCAAATGGTTACCTGAGCTGGAAAATATATGCAGTGCTTATATACACAGACCAGTATGATCAGTTCCATCATATATATATACTGTATGATGGTTTTAATATGAAAATGTGATATTTGCCATAGTGGATTCTGAATTCTTAGTTTACAAAAAGACGCACCACCTAATTTGGTTATTGAACATTATACTGTACCTCATACCAACATCTTATTGAAACATTGTGCTTAAAGCTTAGTGTAAATAAATCTGTGACATATTTCACTTTATTTTTATTCCTGTGTATTTTGGTCTTTTGTGTTGTATTTTCCCTATCCACTACAACACTTTATCAGAACAAATATTAGCAAATGCATTTGATTTCAAACTTGTCCCCAGCAGCATAAAGATAATATTTGTAGTCATGTGTATTTTGAGTCTTGACACTGCAGTTATAGTATAAAAAATAAAGACATTGCTGAATTCTTTTATATAGCACCTTGCACAACAAGGTTGCTCCAAGGCCCTGACTGGTACGATGTGTGATTTAGATTCTGGGCTTCGAAACGCCTCGACTCGCGGTATGTATGGGGATTGCTTCATCACTGATTGGGTTTGATGTCCTGTGTAGGCTAACTTGGCCATCAATCCGGCTAGCCTCCTGCCTGGCGCCTCACCGCGGATCCCTGGTGCCGGGAGTGTGATCCCAGGCCCGGCACCTTCTCAGCCTTCTGCACCAGACGGGCCGCCAAGCTCCGCCACCTCACAGCCTCAGCCTGCAGGGGAGGGGGGGGTCAGCTTTGAAGCTCCAGCACAGGCCAGCACGCTGCAGAGCGCCAGCAAGGTCCGTCAAAGACAGCTTGCACAAAGCCCGACGTGAAATGGAAGATGGGTTCTTTTAGGATTCTTTTTAAAGTAGAGTGAAGTGGACGATGCCTTCTGTACTCTTCTCTTACATGCGCTCTCCAGAGACATGATCTTTTCAGAAACAAATATGAAGTCACTGAAAGACATCCTTTAGTTTTCAGACCACCCAATTTTCAATTTCTTTGAGGGATTATGATTATTGATAGGATTTTTCTTGAATTTGTATGAATTGTTGATTCATTTTACCTGGTTTATTATTTTCATCAAAGGAATACAGTAACGTAACTTTGTTTTCATGAGACATGCTTGTGTGTAGGAAGTATACCTATCCAAAATGACAAAATGCTGCATCATCATTCCTTTGTTCTGGCTGTCCACTTTTCTTTAAAGAGAAAAGGCGAAAGCGAACAAACCTATTCTGTTGATTTCAACTGAATGATTTGGGTTTTTTTTTTCACGCAAGGGTCGAGCCAGAGGAGCTGGCAATCGCAGACCACAGACGAGAGCTGCCAGGCACTTAGCAGCACAGCTGTCTGACGAGGTGAAGGACGAGGAGTACAGAATTGAAAGTGCCACAGGTGCTTGGTCCGGCTCCACTATGCACACAGAATCCCCTCAAACCCCAGACATGATGTCGAGCTCCCAAAGTAAGCAGCCATCTCCAGAAGTGCCGGTATCATCCAAGCTGCCTGCAGGAGAGAAGGAGCCGGCCAGGTCAGACGGGAGCAAGCCCGTGTTGCCCACAGTAGATGAGGACCTCTTTGGGTCAGATGACCTGTTTGCTCCCTCATTGACCAAAGAGAAACCCTCTCCTAACCCAAAATCCAAGATCCCTGAGGGCATGACAAGAACACAGGGGCACCTTCAAAAGAAGGAAGTGGTTCCTTCTATATTTGATGACCAAGAAGATGATCTGTTTCAATCTGCTGAACAGAAAACCTCGAAGAAAACTAAATCAGTCCCATTTCTAGAGGAGGATGACATTTTTAACATTGGGAAGAGCAGTGCTGTATCAGTGAAGAAAGAAACCAATTCCTCTGCACAGAAAGAGCCTAAACTGCCAAAGCAAGACATCTTTCAGGTAGATTTTCTGATTTGCTTTTATATTCTTTTTTGGGAATTTCTGAAATGAAGGACCTAATATTAAGGAAATGATTGTGATATTGAGCCACAGTTTACAGAGCTGCAAAAATTAAAACCAATTACAAGTTCAAGTATAACAGGGAATTTCTTGCATTCTATATATAACACAAAATCCCTACTTGTCATGACACAATATTTTCAATCCTTGCTGTTGTCTCTCCTTATATTTTTTTTGTTCTGATTTATTCTTCCAAAATATGCAATAAATTAAAATTCAGAAGTGTGAAGCTATTACTCCTGGGTCAAGTTCTTCAGGGTTTGCTGGTTGGTGAGTATAATGTAATGGTAAATCTCGTTATTCTTATATTCTTGTACACCTAGGATGATATCTTTGAAGCAGAGGCAGATAAAGTTTCCAAAAAAACTAAAGAGAAGGCCCTAGATGTCAACTTGTTTGACGATAATGTTGATATATTTGCCGACTTAATGGCAACAAAACCGAAAGGAAAGGTGTCAAAGAAGAAAGTGGAGACTAAATCGATATTCGATGATGATATGGGTGAGTAACTGATTGTTGTACACAATGTTTTTTGTTTTGTGTGTTTCTGTGGTCAAATCAGAAAATATATATGGCTAAAGGGTAGTTAGGGCCACTCTTGTCCTCTTGAGCAAGGTACTTCACTTGATTTGGTAAAAGGGGTAGTTGTATAAATAGGTTTAAATGTAACTCAATGGGATAAATATGTCTGCAAAGTTAACTGGTACCTCTGACCTCTGTATACAGAAGACCATGAGATGATCAGAGACAGGGTAGAGAACTGTTCTGTGGCATGCAGTATTAAGAAAATAAATGCTGTTTTATACAGGCCTGTATTCACAAAGTGTTTGGAGTCTTATTTATCTTATTTATGCTTATAGCAGCCAGTCTAGGTAGATGAGCTTAGTGGTGTCCTCGCATTTGTAAGCTTTTTTAGTGTTCTCGTTTACTTGACTGGATGCCTTTATTTATCTCCATATGGCGTTTGTCACAATTTTTTGCTGGAAACCCTCCTTGTTTAATTTTTACAAATTCTTTCTTTCCTCTGTTGTAAGTGAAAAATGTTAGTCTTGTCAGGAAAAACCTATAATAACACTTTTTCTACTGTTTTTAAGATGACATCTTTTCGCCTGGTACTGCAAAAACCACAGTGAAGTCTAAGTCCAAAACCAAGAAAAGTCGACCTGTTCCCGAGACAAACACGGCAGAAGAAACAAGCCACAGCATTTTTGATGACCCCCTTAATGCTTTGGGTGGCAAATAAATTATTTTAAGATGTCTGGTGTGAATGTCTGAATATAAACCTGTATAATTTGAAAGTTCCAGAAGGATAGAGTTTGTTAACACTGTTAATAGTTTAATATTAAATGCATAGGACCACTGTAAAAAAAAAAAAAGAAAAATGTATGTTAGAATTATTATCCAATGATGTTCTTGAGGACAGAACTGTTTTTTTTGGGGGGGAATTAACACTTAGTTCTTAACTCATTGTATGTCTTTCAGTACTTACAAATTATACATTATACATACAGTATTTCTCCAGACACATTTTTATACAAGAATAAGTGACTAAATAAACATGGTAAAGAATCCTTTATGTATTAATCGTATACCACACTATTTGACATCTGTTTTCTCTTAATGATGTTTAGTAACAGAATTGCAACTGTGTTTAAAGTTGACATTTTTCAGCACTGGAAAATGTTTTGCTGAGACGTATATGAACTGCCCAATATGTTAAACATCTTGGTTGCATGTCTTCATTGTAATTTTCATTTCTAAGAACTAAATGGCATTTGTTTAAATTTTGTTTGTGCTGTGGGGTTCATGTATACTGAATGTCTTACCCAAAATTTGAGCTCCTCTTACTGTCTATTTATATACTAAAGGTTCAAATCTCCAACCTCCTCACCAACAGAACTGTGCAGTGTTATCATACCCCCTTGAAAAGAGTGGGGAGAAAATCAGTAGTCAGTCCTACAAGACTTACCTGAAGTCTGTGCATATTTACATTGGGATGAAGGCAGTTAGGCAAAGATCTTTGTTTAAAGGTCTTTACAGGCTGGCAGATTTTTTATACTGTGTTAATCGTTTACTTTCAGTTGAAACCTCTGAGTAAGTAGTAAGCCATTTGACTCAGTTGAACAAGGTTGAGTGGAGAGCTGCTGTAGTGTACGTAGGCTGCAAAGGATCAAGTAAAGGTTAATTCCACACTGAAAAACAGAAGAAAAATTGTTTTGTTCTTCGGATGTAAATGAAAGGGAGTAAGGTAGCAGGGTAAGGTGCTTTAGTCTCCTGCTACCTTACTCTCCCTCAAACTGCAGAACAAAACATTTTCTTCTTTCTACTTTGCAGTGTGGAATTAATCTTAACTTGTCCATTTGACCCATTTCTTAATTTTTATTATCATTTAAATAAAAATCAAGTATATACGAATTACATGATTGTATTGAGTGCATTTTGACCTGGCATACCTATATTGGTTAGTTATTTAATTAGCTTTAAACAATCTTTTGTGAACACTTAGAAAATATTGATAATAACATTTGTTAAGTGTCTTTCCTTCCACTGTCTTTAACTGTACCTTTTGTCCCCCAAGTAATATCAAATCTTACAAATGTAATCATTTTTTTTAATATTCGAAGTTCGTTGTTCTTAAAACTGTAGTTCTAAAGGTTTAATTGGGGTGTTCCATAAAACAGAAAAACAGTCTGAAGCAGTAGGCTCATTCAATAAACACAGCTGCTCTCATCTGTGCATAAAACAAGCCATAATGGATGATTTCACCGACTCGAGCGGACTTACAAAGCGGGTTGGAAATAAAGTATTCGAATGTTGAAAGTCATTTTTTTTCAGCAGACACCTTTATCTAAAGCAATTGATATAATCAAAGCATGTTACAATTTCACGGGTAACAGTGCAAAGTACAGTAGGTTAAGTGATGTGATTACTACAGGGATACATCATTCGAAAATGTACAGAATGTGTAAAAGCGGATAGAAAGGAAAATACGACTAAACCAAGCCGTAAAAAATATATTTTTCACCAGAAAAACGTCAAATTAAACTATAAAGGACTGGTTTTGTTTGATAGCCCGTTTTGAGACTCAGGGTGTTCTCAGTAGTCTCTTGGTTATCAGATACAGTATCACGCAGCGTCCGCGTCTCCAAGGTGCACAAATATCGGTCACGTGTTAATTGTTGTTGGAGATGAGGGTCAACATCCGGGAAACTATTGGAGCACAAAGAAAATAGCTCTGTTCACGCAACCAAACCATTCTATACCCGCCTCAAGAGGCTTTTTATTGGTTGTTTGGCGTCTCTATCTGGGTTTCTGTGGATGTCATTGGATATTGCTCTGTCAGTCAGAATGCGTCATAAAGGGTAGGTTTTTCTTTGAAATGTTGTGTTAAGCAGCACAGGAAGGTATTTGAGGGGAAGTTAGGAGATAATTGAACGATTGTGAAGGTTAAAACTATGGCTAATAAGAACGCAGGTGTGATAAAACGTTAAAAATATGATTTTGCTGCTGCTGCATTTTAGTGTCATTCAAGGCCGGTGAAGGTGAGCCTCATAGGCTTTCCTTTGAGGGCGAAACTGAGAAACGGGTCAGGGGATTTGATTGCTATATTCAGGTGCTGAGGGTATTACATCGTTGTGGTCACTGCCGGGTCAGCGCAGGCTTGGTTTATTTAAAAGAAATCTAGAATCTGATCTGAAAACGAGGATTAAAAAAGAAAACCCAGCAGCCGTTACTCGTGGGAGAGCTTTGGGATATTTGCCAGCTGTAACCCTGCTGCCTCTCCTGAGCGCCACAGGGATGATGTTACGGTAAGTCGGGCTGATCACGTTTCTAGCCCTGCTGAGCGGAGAGCTTGTTGGTCCTGACCGCGTAGCCGCGCCTAAGGTCAGACCATCCCTCCTGATCTTTCTGTGGCTGGAGAGGATTTATGACAGTGTCTGATCCAGTACGATCGGACATGCACGGAAACCTTGATATTGCGTGAAATGTATTATATAGGGGTGGGTAGGACAAAATCGCCTAGGTTCAGCTAGGTTCAGCAGTTTTGGACCGGGTTGGGTTTTGCAGGTAAGGTGCTGTATAGTGTTACAGTGTTGGGGAAAACGACCGGTATTTCTCTTTTGCGGAGGGAAGACATGAAGTAGAAATGCCTGTAGCCGCTGTTCTAGGATGTGAAAAGACGGGCATTTAAAAAAAGAGAGAACGCGCTAGTACTTTCGAGCTGGGCATCCCGGGACAGGTCAGAATTGGATCTGATGTGTATCTAGAGCTCGTTAGGTTGTCCTAAAAGTAAAATTTTCATTGTATTATTCGTGAGCCTTCGTACAAAAATACAATGTATCATTGTTGGGTGTGTGTGTGTGGTGGGGGGGAGGGTAGTTCCCAAATTTATAAGAACATAGAAATGAAGTGTTTTGTAGGTCTTCACAATATCGATACTCCAGGTAGTTCGTTTTCTTCGATGAACGTAAGCGTAGAGGTAGACTGAGTGTTTCTGAATTGACACAGCCATCGACTCCAATGCAGGCCGCTGTGATTTGTGATGCGCAGTGCTTCCTTGCTCTGATAAATGTAATTTTCCTGTTCCAAACTGCTACAACATCGCTCTGCCGGAAATTTGTGTTTTTAACCCTTTTCGGGTATAACTTGGAATGAATTCCTCGAATATTAGAATTTGCGGTAATTGGCACAGCCCAATTTGTTGTAAAGAACTAGGTGCTTTTTAGGCGATCACACTGTAAGGTATTTTTATTTTATTTCACGAAGGCTCAAGGCTATTTCATTAAGGCTCCATCAAGTGTTGTCAATTACCAAGGACAAACGGAAGCTATGTTTCCGAGATACGGAGTGCGATCTGTGATGGGAAAAATGCATTCTTAAGTCTGTGCGCGTAATACCAGCCACAGAGCGGCCTGGCCTCCTATTGCAAAATTGCTTTGAACCTGGAAAAACTGCTTGCTCACAAAATCACGTTGAATACACGTGCACTCATCTGTTGTTGGCATCACGCAACTCATTCTCGTCGTGATGGCCACTTGAACCTCTGGGCTGCTTCTTTTCCACTCGCTGTGCTGGGGTTACAGCGCCCACGGTGGCCACGCAAGCGCGTAGTTGAAGCACCGAGGTGAATGTTGTGGCAGAAGGGAGCAGCGTGTAGTGCGTTAAACTATCCCTGCTAAATACTGTACGGCAGTCACCTTGTACGCTCCTCTAAATGCCAAATACAAATCCGTTTCAAGTCCATAGAAGCCACTTCTGCTCTGGCAGCCCAGAATTAAATTGGACCGAGTATAAATGCAGTGTACAGAATTGTCCATTCATGACCGTTTAGTCCGCTGCTATATCGCCCTGCAACTCACAACTGGCAGCCCACTGTAGCTCTCAGCGGGTGTGAGCCTGCTCAGTTCCTGGATGGGAGACCTCCTGGGAAAGCTAAGGTTGCTGCTGGAAGTTAGGGGGATCAGTAGGGGGGTGCTCACCCTGCGGTCTGTGTGGGTCCCAATGCCCCAGTATAGTGATGGGGGGCATTTTTACAGTAGAGCGTCCTTCAGATGAGATGTAAAACTGAGGCCCTGACTCTCTGTGATCATTAAAAATCCCAGGGCATTTCTTTAAAAGAATAGGGGTGTTACCCTGGCATCCTGGCCAAATTTCCCATTGGCCTCCTACTAATTCCCATCTAATAACTGGTTTCATCACTCTGTTCGTCTGTATCATCACTGATGTGTAGTGAGTGTACTGGTGCACTATGGCTGCCGTCGCATCATCCAGGTGGATGCTGCACATTGGTGGTGGTGGAAGAGAGTCCCCATTACCTGTAGTGGTAACTTTGAGTGGAGTGTCTAAAAGCGTTTTATAAGTCTAAGGCATTATAAATTAGTTAATTCTTACAGGAGTCATACCATACCAGCCTGTATGTACTGTATACCTTACGGATGACTCCTGTAATCATCATATCAGAGGATTATACTTTCTGATGTTCTGTTTTCTCCATTTTCTTCTAAGTAATTCCTGTTAATAATACTCCATATGTTTGATTTTTTTTGTGGGGGGGTTAAAATAAGTCAGGAATCTGTAGAAATACACTATTGAAGGGTCTTGCAATTGTAGAAAAGCACTTATTTTTTATTTCCTTCCAGGAGCACTTAAATGTAAGCTCTGTAGAGCTGCATTATTTTGGTCCAGTGATTAACACCAGTTTACAAGAGTGTATGTGTGGACGCTGGGGTAGAAGAGGCCGCCCGAATTGTCTCAAGCAGATTATGTTCTGTAGTTTACCTCAAGGATCCTTTTGATCCACAGGTTGTTTGCTTAGTTGGCATTATTTTTGTAGGTAGCAATTAACAAAAGCTTCCAAGGAGATTAGACTAGTTTCATTAACAGCAAGGCTTTCGAAAGAGTGAAGAATACAGAGCCTTTGACTTGGTCTTCTTTCCCTCCATATTTGGAATTGAGGCTTGCGCATACATTCTCAGCAGGAGACAAAATACATGAACAGGATCCTGCCAAGTTAATTACGGTCTCCACTGTAACGAGGAGACATGATACGCCCGAGGAGGGGGGGATCACCCCAGCAACAGGCTGCTGTGAAAACCCCCTGTCAGTTCTGAAATAGTTTCAAGTGTGTGGCAAAAGAGTCTACAGAACAAACAACCTGCTGCATAAACCCACAGCGTGTATTGTTCTTTAATACATGCCAGACCAGTTTAGGGCCCGGACATTGCGCGATGTACGAAGCCATGGCGTCTGACGTCTGGAATTGAGCTCGAGTGGTTTCACCTTGTCTCGCAGTTGAGCGCAGTCCTTTGTGCCAGACACAATATGGTCTGGGTTTTATGTTATGGTGCTCGAAGTTGTTGTTGATTTGTTTTTCACTGGGGCATGACGGGTTTTGTTGGGTCTCCTGGGTCCGATGCGGGACCGGGACTCCTGTGGGTTTTCTTTGGGTGCTCTGGTTTCCCCCCCATCATCCGAGAGCCTGCTTTGTAGGTCAGCTGGTGTCTTTTAGTCCTGCTCCCTTGTCTGTCTGCTGTGTGGCGGATTGCTGGCCTGTCCTGCACCCCGTGCTCCCGGGTTGTGTTCCTGATCCCCACAACCCTTGCCGGGAATGAGGATTGCCGTTTGGGTTTGGTTTGCATCTGCCTTGGATTAGAAGTAATAGGGCTTCATGGATTTCGCCGCATGTCTTTGTGGTCCCAGTCTTGACTCGCAGGGATGTGAAAGTTTCACCTGCAAGGCGTTGGGAGTACAGGCAATCAGTCATTTTAATCCTCCGTGAGAAAGGTCAGGTAAAACAGAAAAGATTATTATTCAACTCCATTACATTGTAGGGGCAATAAGTTAATTAAAAATTAAAAATTCTTTATGGATCCTTCCGATTTCATTTCATGGGACATATAACAGTAGACCTTATTGAATATTTCATTGCTTATATTCACAAGATTTTTGCAGAAACTATCTGCTGCTTAATTGGTTTCCCTTTCCAGTGTTTAAGATGTCCAGTAGTCAAGTAATTGAACGTTTTAACCTGACGCAAAGCTTTGCAGCATATTCTGAAGTGTCTTGCACTCTGTCTTTTTACTTAATAGAAAACAAACCAAGCTGAAAAGTGTTATGTAAGTTTTAAAGGATGCTAATGTAACAGTAATCAAAATGTTTGAATGTTTTTTTTTAATCAGTAATCTTTGGACTTTTTTATGTTTAATAAAAGGGGTGGTAATCTTAACTAGATTCAACTTGCAGAAGATGATCTCTTTGAGACTTTGCTCTTTAATACTGACATATTTGAAATGATCATTATTGAAATACAGAACATACTGAAGAGCTGAAAGGAATAAAAAAAGACTTGTCAGGGAAGCTTGGCAAAATGCATGTATAAATGGCTCTGGTTTTATTTTGACATCCTGAATACCTGAGTCCTCAGCATTGAGCTGGCTAATGAGTCATGATGTGCAAGGCCAAAGCAGTTACCTCCATATGTGTGAACTCACTCTAGTCTGTGTAATATGCGATGTTCACAAACTGATTTGCCTAAGGGTAGGAATTGGAACATCAGCATCCAGATTGCCAGGGCTTCTGTTGGTATTCAGATTGCAAAAACAGAACAAGCACCTCCTGGATTATTGAACTACTAGTGGGAAAGGGATGAGTGTGGGGAGTCTGTGATCGAGGTGCAAGATTTCACTCCTTCTTACATTGAGTAAATGTTTCGCACATGAGATCACTCTTTGTGTGCTAAAAGGTCTCCTCAGTACTTGTACGAGGGTTATGTATCATTGCACAATTGTAGTGGTGTTTGTTAGAAAAGGTGCTATAGGTGTTTTTAAGGATAGAATTTTCTCTTTTAGCAAAATGTGCATGTTAAATAAAGATACAAAAGTGGTGGGATATAAGATAGGATTTAAGTACTTGGCACTTTAGTAGGAAAGGTATTGTGCAGTTTGTAAAGCAATATATTAAATACATCTTTTTTTATTTTTTGTCTTACAGTGTTTGTGCCTACAGTAAATCCAATTACATCGGTTTATCTTTGGGGAAAACCCTCAGGGGGTACCACTGACATGGTTCTAGCACACATAGTTCAATTCCGATTCTTGGTCAAGCTTTCCTCTTTTGCCAGCTGAGTCAGGTCAGGCAGAGCAGTTATGAGGCCAGCCCCGGCTGTAGTAGGGCTGGCACAGGGCTGTGCTTGTTTTCCAGTCTTGCCTTGGATACATGCTCTTCATTTGGAATACTGGAGGGGAATTTTCTACAGTCACTGACGCTGCATGAGTGTGTGAACTCACTGGTGATTTGGTAGACGGTTCAGGCTGTTTTTATTTACTTTGGTATGTGTATTTCTCATTTTTGTGGCAGCATCTGAGAATGTTTACTTTGTTTCCCCCCTTCAGAGAACGGGTCTTGTCTTTAATTTACAGGAATTCTGAGTTTTGGTGTGACCTCGCTGTTTGTAAAGCTGTATGAATGTTACCTTTTAAAGGTAAACTTTATCTTGAAGAATTTTAGGAATATATTCGCCTTGTAAAATGAATATTACATTGTTGTTTCTAGGTGCAGCTTCAGAGCATCATGACCAGCCTCTCTGCCTGCGAGTGTCCCGTGCTCCTGCCCTTGTCCCTTCTGATAGTGGGTCACCCTTCTCCCTTGCCTTGAAGCTGTGCTGGAAAGACCAGAAATGGCCCACAAGAAGGAGCCTCCCTTCTTCAATGAGGACAATGTAGGACCATTCCACTACAAGCTTCCTTTCTATGAGACGATGGAGCTGTTCATTGAAACCCTCACTGGCACGTGTTTTGAGCTACGCGTGTCGCCTTTTGAGACGGTGATTTCAGTAAAGGCCAAAATTCAAAGACTAGAGGGTACTGCTCTTTTTCTCATTAACTCCTCTTTCTCTGTCTCTGTGTCCGTGCCTGTGCATTACAGATTGAAAGGCAGGTCAGCAACCAGAAATAAAAATGAAATTTTGAATCTAGTCATAGTCGAGATCTTACATCAACAGCTTAGATGTGCAGTTATTAATTATTCACAGTATAGAGTACAGATCTACAGCAGCACCTGATCTTCACTACATTTATAATGCATCTTAGCAGTTAATTCTGTGATGCAGCTTTCTAATGATTTCTGTTTTACCCCAGATTTCGCATGGTCTAGATAGGAACACGTGTGAGTTCTTTCATTACTGAGCCACAGAGAGGCTTAAAGCTAAATCAAGATCTTAATAGGAATTCTGAAGGAATGACTGACCTTGCTGCACTTGTCACTTAGTGCAGTGAACTTGCATTGTGAGCTTAATAAGGAATATCCATGGCCCTTTGGGATGTGCTTTTGAACTTTCAACTGTTCTGTTGAATGTGCTGCAGGAGTCAGGTGCTGGGCATGTGGTTACAGCATCTGCATGGTGTTGCCAGCTCGCCTGCTGCTTTTGATTTGCAGGGCATTGAGGCATCCTCATATCATATCTTCTGTTACCAGATATTTCCAAAGGCTGGTTTGTGCTTTCCTTCACCTGTGGCTACAATGACTGTTTAGTGGCAGATGCAATCTTTTCTTTTTGTCGTTGTCCCTTGAAATCGTATCTGCTTTACATTTGAGCACATTGGGATATGTTTCAGATTTAAGGCAACCAGTCTGTCTAGAGCTGGGATCTCCAAGTCTGGTCTTGGAGAGCATCCAATTGTATTTTAAAATCTATTGTAAGGGATATTGACAGTTTTCTGGTTTATAATGTGTGTTTATATATATATAGGTTTATATATATATATTACTACCCTCAAATTATATTTTAGAAATGAAACCAACAATTAGTTTAACATGAACAAGTGTAGTAACTTCCTAACACTATAAACAAATTAAGATGTCAACAGTGAACTCGCTTTGTCTTCATACGTAGATGTCGGAAAGCTGAAGTTAAAACCAAATACTTAATTGTATTATTGTAGGGGGCAAAAAATCAAAACAATACTTTTGTTATCAGAGATTCATTACAAGGAATGACCTTAGCTGCTGGTAAGCATGGACCTGTGTCTTCACAGTATTACCATTTGTGTAGAATTTGACTCTCATTTCCCTACATACTTTAGTATTCAGCATACTGAAAATAAACTTGTCTTCTAACTGCTGGGGTTTTTTTATTTTTCTTTTGAAAAGGGATACCTGTTGCACAGCAGCATTTGATCTGGAACAACGTGGAACTAGAAGATGAGTATTGCTTAAATGATTACAGGTAAAATCATTGGCTGTTCTAACATGTACATTGTACTGTTAAATAGTTGTCTGCAGTTACCTTGTAAATTGTTGTTGATTTTGGTTGTCAATTTGAAAGGATCAAGTAAAGGTTAATTCCATGCTGGAAAGACAAATGGCTTTCCAGCAGTCAAACTTTCTTTAGGACTGTGAAGAAGGCACACATTCCTGAAAAAGGTCTCAACAACCAAAACATTTTTCTTACTACTTTTAGCATGGAATTAAAGTTTACTTTTCCTTTGCAGTCAATGCACTCTCGAAGCTTCCTGCTCAACCGATATGAATGTTAAGACTGATTAGGTAGTTTCTGACCTCTAAGGCTATTGCTGTAATGACATGTCACTAAATAATACATTTTCACGTTTCACACAAAACTGCTGCTTTTTCAGGCTGCTAGCTATGGCTGTTGATCAAGATAGTCTAACCTTTTGATCTCCAGGCTCTTTGACTAATCCTACTCTCCTGGCAAAGGCTTTATGCTGTGTAAAATGCCTGGGAACTCCTACAACATTTTATTTCTGATGGATTTTTGCTGGATCATCAAAAATAATTCAGCTGTAGCAGTTACCTTTATCATTAATCCTGAAGTCTCCAGGACTGCTTTTTTTTCCATCAAGCTAGTACATTTACGTAAGGATTTTCTAAGGCAGGTGATTTCAGACTGATTTAATCTGTAGTGTTTTAACTTAAACCCTTTGTTACACCTCCAGTTCCTTTTTTGTTTCCAGTAAAATCTTCTCTGACAAGGTTGGGCTCTTCCAGTCTTTTCATTCTTCACTGCTGTGTACCTGAGGTGCATTCTTGCTGTTCTTGGATGGGTTTCGAAATTGAAAGGGTTCAAACAAGACGAGAAATTTTCATGAAGCAGGCAAGCACATGGGTTCAAGCTCAAACTCCAAACTGCCTTTCCTCATTTCCAGTCTTGCTGTGCTGCTTACTCTGTTCATATTGTCTGTTCAGCATTACAGAAGGGTGCACTTTGAAATTGGTGCTCGCTATGAGAGGGGGACCCATCAATACCAGGAGAGGTGTGTATTTATTTTGTTTAAAGTGAACATAATAACAGTGTACTCTTTATTAAGCAGCTCATAACTGCAGGCATGTTTAATCTGAGAACTATGTCTTCAGGCCATAATTTAGATTGAGGATTAGCAGTAGAAGAAGGATGCAGTTTGTTTTTGTTGCCATTTGATCATTTGATGTGTGCCACGTTTTGCAAAACAACGTGGTGATGCTCCATTATAAGGGTGTGTAGTAGTTTCTAAGTAATCTGTATAATATTAACAGATGAATTGTGAGCTATGAAAGTACAGTTCTTGTAGATCTAAACATTCATTTATGTCTCCCAGGAAACTGAATGTGAGTGAACTCAAAAGGCAACTTGTTTAATGTATTAAATTTAATTCATTATAATTGGAAAACAAGATGTCGTAGTGATCAGACAGCAAATCTGCAGTTTTGATGTTCAGTCAGGTCTTCCTAAGAGCATATACTGCATACAGCATTATAACAGAAGTTGGAACAATTCCATGAGTAGTAGCAAATAATTAAAAAATACTTTCATGTATTTATCTCGTAGTATTATGGATATATCTACAATAAGAAATGATATATTATAAAATCTGGCACCTTTTGATGGTATGCAGCCTCTTGTTTTAGTTATTGTTTTGTATTTTATCCACTGCAGTTCCAATGGATGACCCTGTAAAGGAATTTGCGGAGTACATGGATTCAAACCGGGATGATGTTTTGGAGAAAACTTCACCCAATAAGCAGGTCACCTTTCTTGTGTACCAGGAGGGAGACCAGCTCAATTTCTTCCGAGTTGTGGATCGAGGAGATGGCACCTTAACACCAGTTTCTGAATCAATAAGGTGTGTAAAGAAAGGCTGATTTTGAAGTGAACATTTAAACGTTTTATTACATTGAATTAATTATAAATGAAAATAGGTAATGATGAAACTCTTATCAAAGCTTGCACTTTAATTGTTTTAAGTAGGTTTGTGTGATAATTTAAATTTATATTATGCTTGGAGTTTAAATAGTTTTTTTTTTCTAACTTTAAACAAGCTTAAAAAATCTTTTTAAACATGTTATTTGAACTTGTTAAAACACCATATTGTAGTAACCCACCCTCTCCCAGTTTTTGGGGAGCTATGTGATAAAACGTTCTGTTATGGTACAAGAATATATGGTAGGGCATAACAGGCCATCCATTTTTGAACTAGAAATTACAAGAATCTTTACATTCTGGATAACACTGTGGTCTAATAAACATTTTGTTGAAGTTTGCAAATAGTCAGAAATACTCGTCTGTGGGTCTAAATACCAGAATGGTCTCCTCTGCAAATTGATGATGCATATTTCCAGTAGCTGAGTAGCCAGTTGTATCCTCTGTTGTAGCGGAGGCTCAGTGTATAACTTGTACACTGAGGAGGAAGAAGAAAGTGAGCCCTCACCCTCAGGCCAGCAGATCATGGAGAACTCCATCACCATGAATAAGATGAAGCTGCTGAAGACCAAAATGGAAAACATGAACCTCAGTAAGAAGGTACTGCTGCCATAACACCCTATGGGGAAATATCCTTCACTTTGATTATATTAGCTGCCAAGCTCCTTTGTCAGTAGACTCTCTAGAATTCGGTCATTGTTGGAGGGAGATGGCAAAGTAGGTGAAAGACTCGTTCATAAACTACGTCAACCATGTCAGGAGGGGTATCATGAGCAGTTCTGCAGCATGCGCATATGAAACTTTGATTTACCCTGTTGTATGTGTACTTGGAAACATAAGGAATTCATATTCTCATTCCTTAAGAAATGTCATTTTCATTCTTTACTTGCATGCAGTTACAATATAAATTACATGCTTAAGAAAACTGGGGGGAAAATAGCACGTTGCCATTACAGTCTTCATTTTGCCTGTCATTGACTAAAAGTGTATACATTTAGCCAATCTTTAAGAATGGTATGACACAATCCGCTCTTTTTTCACAATTAATATATTTGTTTCTCAGGTGTTCTGCACTCCAAGACACCTGACTCTAGTTAACAATAAATGAATCCTCTATACAATTGTGAGGAATTTCAGTTTAGTGTCCAGTGTTTTTCTTTTGCAGCCTAAGAAGACTGCCAAGGTGAAACCCAGGCCTCCCATCTGTGCTCGGCCCTGCACCGACTCATTGAATACAGCCCGTCATCAAAGACTGTTCCGGGTTCTGCCTCAAATTGGACACTCTCTGAACCCTTCAACATGCCTACCTCCTGTCAGGGACCAGCATTCCTCAGCTACTCCTCCTGTTCCTGCACCCCCGAGCGCCTTGTCCTCTGTCACCCCCGCCAGCCAGGCAGTGCTGTCGTCCACATGTTACTCTGTGAAGGAAGACGAGTCCTGGGAGTGCCCAGTCATGACTGCTTCCTTAAGCAAAATCAGGTCTCCACCTAAAGTTTCCCGAGTCAAAGTAGACAACTCTCATCTGCCGAAAGTTGCAGTTCTTCCACCACTTTCTGTGTTGCCCAATAGGGAGTCTCGAGATGGCTCTATGGAACAAGTGAAATCTAACATCGAGGGAACGGTGAGGAGGGAGGACGCTGTACTTGTGGGCACCCACCCGGATGCTTTTCTTGTGCTTGATGAAGAGCAGGCTAATGCAAGTGTCAACGCGGAACCAGCACAGGGTAAAGACAGCAGTTCTGAAATGATAGAAGAAGCTACTGAGCGGTCTGTAGCAGCATTACTTTCCAAAGCAGTAAGTTCTGAATCCATGGACACCTGGGCCCTGAGCACTGAGCGTTTATCTCAAAGGGCTAACAAAGCACTCAGTCCTCTGCAGTTCCCTGCTCAGTTGACCTCCAACCCTTTAGTGATTGGGAAGCCCCAGAGGCTGCCCAAGTCTTTCGGTTACGGCAGTCTGAGACCCACAGCTTCCAGAGCTCTCCTGAAGTCTGAGGAATACTCTGGCGCCGCCGAGGCCTCTCCTGCACGAACTCCAAAGTTTCGGGGTGTGAAGGTGGACTCCCCTGGTAAGCATCCTGAGATCATATCGAGAACAGAGGCGCGGGACATTACGGAAATGGTGAACAAAGCCTCTAAGGAACCCCTGGGCTCTGTCAGCAATTTAGGAATCCTGGCTTCGCTGGCACGAAGCACAAGCAAGGAAAGCAGCCTACCAGGGAGCTGTGGACTGGGAAGACCGCACCCGGCTGCATTGCCTCTTCCCACCAACATCCACCTCTTTCAGGACGACCTCCTTAGGAAAGTGTCCCCACCAGAGGGAGCTGGTGCTTCATGCATGGTAGAGTACATGGTGCAATTCCTGTGCATTGTTACCCACTAAAAGACCTTGGTGATTGTCACAGCTTCAAGTTGTACCTAGCTACTAGTGTTGTATTTTTCCATTCTGCTTGTTCAGGATTTTCTTAGGGCAGCAAGTAAGGAGAGAACACCCGCATTAACACTAAACATTAATATTCTGCACTAGCGGCTTTGGTGAGACCGCGGTCAGTGTCGCGTTGTAGAATGGGTATACTGGACTGGTTAAAATTTTATTTTACTCTGTTTTTCATCTAACTGAAAGCCTTTCGTTGATCCTGAAAAGAGCATCGCTGTTCCCAGACATTTTTTTATTTGCGGTGGTCATTTGGTTATCAGTAATCATCAAAATTTGTAGCCTGTTCAGATTAACCAGTGCTGTTCAATTTTGTCCCTGAAAATGTAACCGTCTCATTTCAGCCTGCTAACCCTCTTGGCTCAAGTGGAGGCTCTTCCAACACAATTAGGCGAATAGGTGAGTGATGTGATCTTTTCCTGCAGGCCTCAATGGTTGTTGCAAGTCCTGCAAGAGCCTCTTTCTTACTCCATCATGTTGTTCTGTATGCCTTCTTATCCTTGTCCCTTCAGCCTGCTCTTTTATCTCCTGTGTGTTTCCTGCCTTCTCTCAGCCACTTTGGTGAAAGTCTTTCTGCAAACGGCAAACACAGTTGAGTCTCCTATCACCTGCCATTCCCTCATGTTGAGGACTAGATTGATAGACCTTTTTCTAACCACTTCTTCCGATTCAGGACACACACAGACACACACAGACACACACAGACACACACAGACACACACAGACACACACAGACACACACAGACACACACAGACACACACAGACAC